AGCATAAAACAAGCGTCAATGTTTTGATGGGAGGAATTTTAAGTGAAAGTCATGACTCAATTCTTCCCCAATTTTTTGTGTTTCTTTTATTTTCAACATTGATTTGTCACCAACCAATTATACTATGATATGAAATATTTTCAGTGTAACGGAAATCTTAAATTAATTGATACATCATAATTGAAGTCCTGGTAAATTCAATTTATTTCTTTTTGATTTATGGACGTTAGTTTTTTCGTATAGTGTTTAATTTGACTAAGTTCGATTTCTCATTGCTATCGGTTTTATCATCGTTCTTACTTCTTTGCTTTTAGTCCGGGATGATGTAAAGTAGGACAAATTGAATCGATTTAAATTGATACTATGTTCTAAGCTCGGGTTTTGTCCCTAAATGAATACAGTTTGTTGTAATGTGTTTTTTTTTCAAATATAATTGTTCAAGAAACTGAGTAATATATATATTTTTTAAGGTACCGATCTCTCCCTAACTATTGACCTGAAGACCTAAGAAACAAAAAAGCATCAAAGTCATGTTATTTTGGTGGATAATGACTAAAGTAGATTCATACGATATTTGCCCTTTCGAAATCCCTGTATTCACATGCTCCAACAGTCGAAGTATAAGTTTTCCGACTTACATAGTTCAAACCTATATTTATCGACTTTGGATACTAGATATTAGCTTCCACCCTCTCACTCTTGTGAAACATCTCTGTTAAGGTTGTAATTAGGACTCATCTGATCATAATTCTAAGTATAATGTCATATTAAAGTATTTCGAAAGGAAAAGATGATTCTTTCTACACTGAAAACTATCCTTCTTCATAGTTGGAGTACGAGAAACTGACAAAGTGATAAGTAAATATTAGTAGTCGTACTAGTTTCCTCTCCATATTCTTTTCTCTTTGTCTTTCTTTTTAGTAATTACCAGAAGGGGTTTGTGGAAATTTAGTATTTTCATAGTTGAAAGCATGAGTCAATTGAAGCTAGAACACCATGGAAAACCTAGAAGCACTGAAAGGCCATTTCGTCCTATTGTGGGACACCTCAGCAGTGCGCATCCACGATCCCGCACTCGCGAGATTCGAACCCAGAACCTGCCAGTCTCGCGCCAGAGCCCTTAACCGATAGACCACTGAGCTGGCATCCAACGGTGTTGATGTCTAACTTCAACTGATCCACGAGGAGTCCCATGATAGGACGAAACCGCCGTCCAGTGTTTCCAGGTTTTCCATGGTGGTCTAGCTTCAATTGACTCATGCTTCAACTATGAAAATTTCTTTTTAGTGTTTCTTTACTCACCGAATAAAAGATTTATCATATGACGTTGTTAATGACTGTCTACAAATATAGAATGTTACATTTAAAAATATTATAACTAAGATTTTCAATTCACACATCAAGATTGACATCAGTCAACATCCGACTCAGCGTTTTTCGTAATAACCCACATATCTTTCAGCCTCTTATCGTAAACATTTTAGTATTAGTCAGTAAGTTTCCCCCTCCTGTTTAACATGTCTGTTTCTTTTTGTTCATAATATGTTAAAGTGACAATTTTCGTTGCTTTGTTTGTAAACAAATAAATGGACGAATAATTCAAAATATCTCAAATTTCGGTTTAATCAACTATTTTTCTCTATATCTAAGACACATGAACTTATTACTATAATGGAAAATTGACACTTATGTAGTACCAATTATATATTGTATGGTGATACGGTACTTCTGTACAATTATTCATCTTACATCAACTCTGAGATGCAGGTACATCCAGCTGACGAGTCCCAAATAGGACGAAACGCGCGTCCTGGATTCCACTGCTAGCCACTATCCATCTCTGCTTACCATGCTTGTGAATTAAGGTATATCGAGGCAATACGCACAGTATGCACATATGCCAATTAGAGACTGACCAGTTGCAGTCCTAAACACATCGATGGGAAGATCCAAACAAACAATACTAAGTGAATTCAATTATTCATCTTTGTTTTGTAAACAAATGAAAATGGTGATAGACAATTGTTAATTAAGTAGGATTAATCTTTATTTTTCTTTCAAAGAAAAGACAATTTTCATTCTTCTAATTATCATAAACATCAGTGATGTATGAATTTATTCATTAAAAAAGTCACCTGTCAATCAAATTTGGTTGTACATGTTGGAAAAATTTCAAATCTTTGTCTATATATACACCTTATTGGTATTTATCTGTGGGTAATATATATGGGCTATCTGTTCCTCCCAACTAGATATTTCAACAAACTATTTGTTTTTAATCAGAAGCGGTTTTGTGGATATTATAGTAACTTGAACAGTTGAGATCCCAATACAGCTGAGTCCCACAATAGGACGAAACGGCCATCCAGTACTTCCAGGTTTTCCATGGTTGTCTAGCTTTCATTGACTCATGATCTCAACTATTTGTTTTTTGTTTGTTTTATCACATTATCATATCTATTAATCGTATAACCTATTCATGTGCGTTTATGAAAAGTATTAAACCTTTCGTTGTAAAAGTTACAAAGGGACAAATCACAGGTAACATGGTTGCTGGCAATATTCATCGAAAAGAATGTACATCATTCATATGTCGATTGACTGAACTGTTAACTTTTAACTGGCGATCACTCAATATTTATCGTCAGGATCGACAAAGAAATAAGAAACGGAAAGTTGTTGAAACATTTTGTGATGAGAATTCTATATTGTACGAAAAAATATAATGTTGAATAAAGCTAATAATAATAGTTATATGTATAAAGGGAAATCAGCTTTAGGTTATAATGTTTATAGTGTTAACCTACTGCAAATCAGATCTAGTCTAAAGCTAACCAACCGAAAATAACTGTTTAGTTAGTTAGTTTCCGGTAAATTTTTTGATTGACTACTCAATTACTTATCCATTACTGTGCTCCCAAGAAATATTTGCATAAGTTTACTCAATTTACTTGATGGTTGATTTTTTAGTTTTGTTGACGTTAATATCACGTCATTGATATTAACAATATTTGTATTATGACATAAATATTTGGCTACGAATTTGAAAAAAGAACTTCATCTAGTATGTAAGATCTAGTCATTTCAGTTGATAAGCTATCTTCGTATAAGTGGTATGAATTTTGAATCTGTAGCTTGTATAGGTTGATTGTTAAAACAGACAAACTATAGTGTCACACTTGCAACTGCTACTAAATGCAATTTGTGTTCGCAGCAGTCATTAGTTGAAAATCGATTTTCAACATTAATTGATGGCACTTAAGTGACACTATATTAATTTCGTATTACGTTGTGCTGTCTTATATGAGTGGATTATATACTGCATAAACGATTGACATTCATTACTCTTGATTTTTCAGTAGAAGTTGATCGAATGCGGTTGCTTATGTGCTTTTTTCAAATGAATTTTGGGGATTTTAATTTTAATACGAAAGTGAATGAACTGTTGTATATAAGCGACTTATCAGTGGCTTCATGGTTTGACCATTGTATTTACAGATTCCATCTCCACTATCTCATCTGCAGTATGGGTAGTTGAGTAAAATCTGTAGTCTGCCTACTGGAAGTAGAGCTTACAGTTGAATATAGGAGCTTGTACCTGAGTTACATTGAAATTTATTTAGTATTTACCAGTTTTTGCTGACTTCCCAAATGACCATCAACTTGTGAAGAACATTGTCTTGAAATCTATTGAAGTGTTTCCATTTGTATGAGTTCCCATCTACGACTTTAATGTGAAACAATTGATTATTCTTTTATTTAACGTTTGCATCGATCATTATCTATCCTTTCAAGGAATTCTTATCTGTCCACACTTGCAGTTATATAAGAAAAAATTAAAGGGAAGCTTTGTACAGTCAAATCAAGTCATAGCCGTGTTAGTGTATGTGGATTACCAGGTTAAATTCTACGCAACCATCATAACCAGTGGTTGGATACTTCCGGTGACATGACTGAGAATCAGTCTTAACAGTGCAGGTGTACCCACTCTTCTCTTAGATTTTGAGTTCCAAAATTCCTCTGTACTTTTTTATTTCACGAATTCGTTCTTTCTTCTCAAATCATTCTGTCTGTCTAATCTTTTCTACTACCACTCATACTGGTAAAACTGCGATCACCCCTGGCATTTGACTCGCTAATTTCGTCTTGCTGTTGTGATATGGTGTGGCTACTTGGGCCGATGCATCAGGTTCTACATTGCGTATGAATGTTGTCGATAGCTGAATTCAACCGTATTGGGAGATACCGACTTCGTATTTGAGATCTATTCAATAATCATAATAAGTCTCTGGAAAGGTTGAGTGAAATCTGAGAATATATTATGTGATTGTTGATTGTTATCACACTATTTTATTTCCAAACTATAGAGAAATTAGACATTGATATGTACCATTCAATTCATTTATTTACTTTAGAGTAATTATTTTACAAATCAGGGCTTCCTCTATATCACTGCTAATTATTCAACGCCCAATTCAATGCACCATTAGCTTGGTGGATATACTACACAGGTTAACCAGGTTAACAGGTTATCCCTATCACAATATTGATCATTGACTAACCATGTATTCATTGGTTTACACACAAAGCATGTTTATTATACTCACTTAGTTTTACCAAACTACTGAATCGCTGATCAAATAAAGTTTCTTTCACATAGTGGAGCTTAAATTCATGTGTGTATAGTATGCATACATCTTCACCATGCATTTGTTTCCCTTAAGTTTTGATCATATTATCCTTTTTTTGTACACCCATATCTTATTTCTCTTTGCTTGTGTAGTTGTATTTTTCGCATAACAGTTTCTTTCAATAATCTATTTTATAATCTTATTTTTTCAGTCTGCCTGCCGTGTCTATTTGTGATAAACGTCCTTCTAAAAGAATGTTTGTGGGAACTTTTTCAAAAAAATATTCCCATACCTTCTCGTTATCACATCTTTTTTTGTACTTTTCATCTAAACTTTCTCTTTTCTTGCCTTTTTAATACTCTTTTCTAGGATCGAAAAGGACAATTATATCAGATTGGAATTAATAGAGATGGATTAATTATTCATCAAGAATTTGTTGAGTCTTTATCAACACATTTCAGTTGGTTAGTTTAACTGTGAATAATAATAATATTTACTATTATTATTATTATTATTATTATTATTATTATTATTATTATCAATATTACTATTATTATCATTATTACGAGTAATGTTTTTGATTGTGTGTAGTAGAATTGTGGTTTAGAGCTTTTAGTAATTGTCGACGGATAATTCTCAACGAAATAAGGCATTGTGTTCAGCTTTGTTTTATACTTGTACAGGTGAATTCAATAAAAAAATGGACGGTATAAAGATGTAATCCAGTAACAGTTTTGAAGAATATTTACTGATAGAGCCTATGTTTGTCAACAAACTTATCTATACGATAATTTCTTTGGTCTCCAAACACGAGCTATCATTCTCTTATGTCGTATTTTCTTTTTTGAAGTGTAGTTATTATGCTCAAATTTTCATTTTTCCTAAATATTGTTTCCCAACCAACATATGTCTCTCATATAGTTGATTTTTTGTTATTGTGTTGTTGCGCACGCAAGCTGCAACCTACATTGATTAACAAGTCACAAATTAGAACAGAATAACATAACTAATTGAAATAACATATTAGTTTTCCCTTATTTTGATAAACAATTTCATCTTTAAACTTAAACATAGCTGCCAAGTTGTATTTGTTACTTTTTTATGTTTCTTTTATTATTGAATAGAAACTGTAGGCAATCTAACTAACCTTACTTGGTATTGTTTGGTTGAATCTTTCCATTAATGTTTCGGACTGAAGTTGATCAGTCTCTGATTGGTATATGTGCATACTGCGCGTATTGCTTCGATTTAGCCTTAATTCACAAGCATTATAAGCAAAAATAGATAGTGGCTAGCAGTGGAATCCAGAACGCGGGTTTCGCCCTATATGCTTATAATGCTTGTGAATTAAGGCTTTATCGAGGTAATATGCATAGTATGCACATATGCCAATAAGGGACTGATCAATTTCAGCCCTAAACATCATTGAGAAGATTCAACTAAATAATACCAAGTGAATTTAAAATCCACCCCACTGCACAAGCAAGTAGCTATCAGGACTCAATAGCTAAGTGGATAACGCGATAGCGTTTGAAGCGGACGGTACTGGGTTCGAGTCCTAGAGTGAACATAAACTCTGAGATGTAGGTACGTCCAGCTGACGAGTCCCAAATAGGACGAAACGCGCGTCCTAGATTCCACTGCTAGCCAATATCCATCTTTGCTTATAATCTAACTAACTGTTTGGTATGTGTAAATACGGCGTAAAACTTCAAACTGGTCCTAGTTGACAAGCTTCATATTAGAAGAGAAAGAAAGAATGAGGTAATCAGTGAGGCAAAAGCGATAGGAAATTTACACTGACAGTACTAAAGTACTTCAGTAAAAAGTTAAATGATAACTACATTTACAGGAGATCAGCTACATACCCGGGTAACTCAGTGGTAACAATTTGAATATTAGTTCTCTGTTCGTTACAGTCACATGCTTCTCGCTAGTCCCGAATAACACGGAACATTGGTACAATTTTTCCTTACAATCACCTCGAATCGTTATAAAATTAGCGAATTATATATATATATATATATATATATATATATATATATATATCTGTAACAGCGTGATTACTAGCAACTTATATCATATATATATCTGCTTGTCTAATAGAAAATAAGAAACTATTCATTTTATACCTAGTTGATATTTTTATATTTATGGTAATGTTTGAGTTCAATCATTTCATGATTTTGCACAACCCTTCATCCATTGCCAGTTGTGGATATCGGTCTCACACGTCACACGATCGAACTGCACTGATCATGGCTTCTCACTAGAACTAGATGTTTGTTATACTCCCACATACCATTTTTTAGATACTGTCACTGTGACTTGTTTGCTTTCATATGCAAAATAATTGTGTTATGCACTTTTGATATTCTTTGAATGCCATTTTCGGCTATATATATACGCGTGTACAATTGCATAGCAATGTTATTTATTTTTGTTAAACGTGACCTTGTTATAGTGTTCTTACTACACTGTTGTTAAAAGGGCCTTTGTAACCTTAGATAAACTGCGATCTAACTACCAAATGATATGAATATCTTTATTAATATTATCATTATTATTAGTGGTTTTTTAAAATATGATTTCGAACACTGTGATTCATCATTTATAATTTAGTATGGATTCATGGTTGATGTGTGTTATCGGGTGTATTTAGAGTTTTAGTTTTCTAATTCAGCTGTTAAGCATGTTAAACTGACCTGGTTAATTAATATTCAGATATCAATTATGATCACTGATACTGGTTTATAAATATTCACGTTGTCCTTTACGTTTGTAAAAATTAAGCTTATATATTTGACTCCTTCTTTGAACTGAAATCACCTATACAATTGTCAGTTGTCGCCATTTTTTGTTGGACACTTGCATATGTCATTAGTATAATAATAATGCAGTTAAATGGGTTCTAATTGACCTTTAGTGTTCTTGACTTAAGAACATGAGTGTAAGATTATCATCGTCTCAGAGTCGGTTCATCGTAGTCAGCGTTAAACCAAACATAAATTTATACTGACCACCCTTAAGAAATCTCGGTTATTTCTCAGAGGATGTTCCAAAAAAAAAACTTGAAACAGTTGTAAAAAATTTCGAGAGGAATCTGAAAAATGACTGATTACGTTAATTTTATCCTGATTAGACATGCCAAATTTTTTATCAGTTTTAGCCGACTCTTTTCTTGAGTTTATTCACATTACTAGTATTAGCACCAGAGCTAGAAATGCTGAGTTTAATGACCGATAAAATCCAATAAGGGAATTGTTAAAGTACATTATACTATGATAAAGCAACTGTTTAATTCATTTTGTTGTTCAATCGCTGTCCAACTAAAGTCGTTCTTTAATATAAAACCATAAATTAGTTCAATACGTTACGTTGAGCTCACTCGTTTATTCGTATAACGGTAATCGATTACCATGTAATCTGTTGAAGTAACTGAATTTTACTGTTGAATTAGGCATCGTCTGACCAGTACTACATTTCAAGTTCGATATATTGAAAAATTGACGATAACTGTGATGAGTAACAGCTAGCACAAAACCTATGTCTGGGATATTTTGGTTATCATTTCGAAACATCTAAGAATGAGTGAACTTGAGGTTTTTCGCTTTTTCTTTAGCGCAATTCACCATTAAGGCATATACATCCTTCAAATTAGGCTCATTTTACGTGTACAATTTATGCCATTGTCCGTTGGGCATTACAGTTAAAAATGTAACATTGACTACCGTAAGCCTTATCGAAATAATGTTAAATATTGTTATGCTTGAACTGAATCGATTCCGCGGTAACGAACGAAAGCCAATTACACAATGACACGATAAGCTATTCTAATCTGTTGTCCCAGGCCCCGCTAACTAGATGAGGAAGTCCAACGCAAGTAGGGGAATATATATGTATTCCGTAAGCAGCCGAGTACAAGCAATCGAATAAGGGAAAAAGTCAAGCGCATTTATACAACAAGAATTTGTCCTTGAGCACCATTGGTAAATAGCACACACAAAGAAACAATGGACCAATAGCGTTTAAGACAGTTTACAAGTGGGAGATATGACGTGAAGGTAAAAAGAGCGCGTTTGGCGCGGAAACAGCTAAATTCAAATTTTCAAAATAAAATTACAAAACTAAGCCATTTACCAAGTAAGTTCTGAGGATTTGACATCCCCAACAAATATACGTAATAATTGTATTGATTATCCTAATTAATCGATAAACAGTAGTCATTTCCTTAGAGTAATCTGCAGCATCATTGTTCGAAAACTCAGTATACCTTACAATACCTATGTACTACGTCATTTTTATCCTCATGATTGCACCATACGTACTTGAGAGTGATCAAAAACACCTATAGTTTCTTTCACTCCTGTTCTGTGCTGCTTACTCATCATGACTTAATAAAAGTCTCTTGAATAACTTTGAAAGAGTAAATTAATCAATTTTAGTGTTATTTTTCTCTATCCCATGATAACATGTCAAAATTGAATACAGGATATCTATTCACTGATTTTTACTTCGCCAGTAAAGGTGGACGTTGGAATCAAAATTGTATAAATTTGATTCATAACTTCATTTAGCGATAATTCGACTATCAGTTGCTTGAATTCAATTACATGTTGTCGAAACCATGAGTTTGTATGTGTATGTATTACTAACAACTCTATTTGATCTGTATGTGTAAAACCTTTTATTCATTGAGGAATGATTGAACGTTCTCTTTAAAAGCAATTTCTCCTCTTATTACCGATATAGATTATTTGCTTAAAAACTGCTAAACTACGTCATATGTCTTATTCAATACTTTTGTATTGTATTTGCATTTGTATTTGCATGTACATCTACGTACATTTACATATATATTCTCTCCAGTGGGATTTTTATCCTCTGTGTTGTGTAACATATAAAGAAATCCTTTTTTAAGCGATGTTATCGGGAAAACCACATTTGGTTCAGCCTGACTAATTATTATGCATTTCTTACTGTGAAATTTGTTTTCTTCAACTATCTATTAAAATTGGTCACATTAAACTTTTTCCTTAAAAATGTTCTTATTTTATACACTTCCTCCGCGTTATAACTTTTACTAAAACACGAACAATAATCGTCACACAATAAATAAGAAACTTACTTATTTCATGAATTCTCTCTTAAAACCACTCACAGTCTGTAAATAATAATATTATTTGTCAGTATACGGTTGTGGAGATTGTTGTGTTTCATTGAAACCAATCGACTAATATTAGAACACCATTGGAAACCTGGAAGCACTGGTTGACCTTTTCGTCGTAATGTGGGACTTTTCGTCGTTCTTCATCCACGATCTCGCATGTGTGAATCGAACCCTGCACCTTAGGTCTTGCGGGCAAACGCTTAAACTCTAAACCACTGAACCGGCATTGGACGTTGTTAATGTCTGACTTCAATCAATCCATGATATATTGCGCGACCATCTTCCATTGTCGTTGGTAGGATACTGTCTCACACCCTCTATTCGAATTCGACTCCACTGATCATGTTTTCTCACTAGAATCCCGGGAATATCCTCTCGAAACTAGTCACTTGTATTAGTCACTATTGAAAACTAAATAAATCCACATACTTTCTTTCAAAACTTTGATTTGACATGGAGAGATTTAGATTAATAAGAAACAAGGACTGTAGCAGTATTATAAAATTGTGCATACATGTATTTATCTACAACTCGACCCCATGATTAATTTTATATATATATATATATATATATATATATATTTATATTTATATATATATTCTAGAATAAGAAATCTGGGAGACAACATGGAACCTGGATTCTTGAAATAAAAGATTTATATCATAGTTGGTTGTGTGTGTAATATTGTCATAAAAAGATGAGCCAAGTACAACTTGAATGAAAACAAAAGAATCTATATTTGACTGTTTGGTTTTCTCTATCGCTCTTCAAATCATTCATTTTCTACCGTGAAAACTCCAACATTATCTATCAATTACTACCATTGACCTCAATCAATTTAATTCTATACTGATTATTTAAAGATCGTTTATATACTAATTATGTAGCCTATCAAAATCAACGAACTAGAAAAAAAGAATTTACTCTTGTAATATTAAAACAATACTTAAAATAATCATTATTCACTTTTCATATTTCTGAAATAATAAATAAACGTAACAGAAGCTCTCCACATATATATGTTTGTATAATAATTAGTCTCTTTCTTTTTTTAAAGAGAAAGATTAATTGAAACACAGCATAAGAGATTAATTACCAGGATATCAGTCACAATTGTTCATAAATATTTATAGGATTGATCATTTATTACACTTTATTTTCCTTCAATTGGAAAGGATAGTTATAAGGAGTGGTTGGTAGAAGGGATATAGTAATAGTCTATATTGTGTTTGTGTGTATGTTACTGTGCACAACACTAACCCGATGTGTAAATTTGGTTAATTGCCACACTTATACTACTAAATTGATTTGGTTCCACTTTCTGTCATAATAGTTTTTCCGTTTTGTGTGTTATGAGATAAGGCAATGTAACGTAGTAAATAAGAAAAAGTTTCTCGTTTGCTTTCTTTTTGAATTATTCGTTTGCTTTTATATACAGTCTTAACAGTTATTCATTAGAAATGAATATAACGAGGAGGTGATTATGTTGTTATGACTAGTGCCCATTCATCACTAATAACTTTAAATAGCCATCAAACTATGTTGTAGATCGATTAAAATTACAAATATTTACCACTGAATTCTACTCGGTAACCTATGGGTTAAACGCTCTCTGTGAGACCTAAATTTCCTAAAATCGACATCTGACTATGTTGTACTTTTGTAATGTCTGGAAGTCTATAAGATAGATTGTAAAATCTGTTCAGCCCCCTTGGCTTTCATTCATGCTTCAACTGAAAGTAATCCATGACGAAAACCACCTACAAAAACATGGAATGGGTTAGCCATCATCTTCAATTGGTATCAAAATTCAATGAAGGTACTATAGTAGTAATGTGTAATTGATTGAGTGCTCACTAGGTGATTGGACATCTGAACTCATCCTATCTAATTCATTTTAAGCAGTCAGGTAGTATCAGTAGCCTACTTTACAAAACAAATGACGGATGAAATTCGAGTACATAAATTTGTACTTGATTACTTAGTAAGATTAATTTAATTAAATTCTTCTGTACGAGCAGTTTCTTACATGCCAAAGATATATTATTTGGTGTTACTTTATTAATTATTGATAATTTCGTCATGTAACATTCTGAATTACCATTTCAGTGTACAATATTCTTATGAATCCTAGTAGAAATCGGAAACATCTGAAGATCAAGATAATAAATAACAACAATCAATCAATTTGTAAACAGTTAGTTTTATCTAACTTACTGGATTTTTAACTTTGATCAGCCCGAATCCAGTAGTGAAATAATCCGAGATCTAAGCGTTTAAATTGAAGGGCATTGATAACAAAATATCATGATAACTTTTTAATTCTTTCTTGTTCGTTATATGATTAAAATTCATTGTTTCTTATTCTTCTCTAAATACGGAAAAGTTTGACTTCCAGTGATAGTTTGACTCGTTTTCCTTCCGATAGGTTTTCATTCAGTTGATGATTATTTACTGTAATTAAAGTAGTGTATACGACAAAAATGTTGAACAAACAAGAAATGTATTTAAATTCATTTAGTATTGTTTGTTTGAAACTTCCCATCGATGTTTTAGGACTGCAACTGGTCAGTCTCTAATTGGCATATGTGCATACTGTGCGTATTGCCTCGATATAGCCTTAATTCATAAGCATTGTAAGCAAAAATGGATAGTGGCTAGCAGTGGAATCCAGAACGCGCGTTTCCTCCTATTTGGGACTCGTCAGCTGGACGTACCTGCATCTCAGAGCTGATGTTCACCCTGGGACTCGAACTCAGTACCTTTCGCTTCAAACGCCATCGCGTTATCTACTCGGCCACTGAGTCCTGATAGTAACTTGCTTGTGCGATGTGGTGAAGTTTAAATTCATTTAGTATTGTTTGTTTGAATCTTCCCATCGATGCATCTGTTAATTGATTTTGAAGCTACCACTTTACCTTGATAATATTTTCGGTATGACATATATTTATCTTTTTATTGTAGTTAATTTTTTCGGTATTTCCCAGTTTCTTCTCTTTTTTGACTCCACATATATTTGTTTTTTTTAAAAAACAGGCAAGATTTGGGCAATGCTACCGCTAATCGTTCAATTGTAACACTTCCAATATCTATGAATGCAGAAAACGTGAGTTTCGTATGCATTTGTTTAGAATAATGTCTTAATTTTATTCATTTAAATGAACTACAGTAAAAAAACATTACTTCATGTAATTCTTTTTTGTAAATTAGTGGGAAGTTTGAAATTTTAATCGCACGAACCCAAGACCTGATTACTCTGTTGTTTTTTCTTAATACACCCGGCATTCCACAGTTATATTTTACAAACGATTCTATGTTTAGACATTTTCCAAATTAAAATGAAATAAGATATACTTTTAATTTATAGGACTAACTTATAAGTTAGTTGTATATTTCAAAGTCATACTACTGTTATCGGTAAACGTAAACTATGCTACTAAGATTAAACAACTTAAGATGTCTAACATAAATCTTGAAAACCATTTAACATAGCAAGACTATGACTTTCTTGATTCTGTAAACCAGTTGTAAATTATCAGAGTGAAAATTAAAATGTCATGTTTCATCGCCCTTATTATTTTCCAGTTAAACTGTCCTTCACTGACTGGTAGTTACTGCTAATTCTGAGCTATGTTATGTGACTTGCTGAAATACCGTCAAGACGATTACTAATCTACAAAGTAGAATCCCAAGAAAACAAATCGAAATTTGATATTTCAACTGAATTTTTAATTCTGTGGTTAGTTTAAGCATATAAATCAAGTATGAACACATTCACGTATATTGATACAGCTGATCATTTTTGTGCTGGCAGCTTCTCACTCAAAAAAAAGACAAACAAGTCCGATCACCACATTACTGAGTATTGAGGACTGTGGTAGGGTAAACATACAAGTTATTCTATTTATTTATTTATTTAAACACATAAATATTGGTACAAGGAAGCACTAGGTAAATATGCGCCTCACAAATCTCACTCGATTTGTGTGAGGGCTGTGATACTGCCCAGGTGCCCAGACTGAAGCAGGTGGTTTTCTTAAGGGGCCATACCCGGAGCCTTTGACCTAAAGGTCTAGTCCACAAGGCAGTGGAGCATCGTAAGGAGATGCAGTCCCATGGTAGCCGGTGATCAACAGTTGGTTCATACGCCATTCGTTCCCTCAGGATCCTGAAGCCCATGTGCACCGTTGGTTTGGAATCAGGGTTTTCCAACTCCCCTAGGTGGATCCTCCACATCCACCAACCCAGTTAAAGCGCCGGACATTAGTTTTTCGTCCTCTCACTTTTGTGAACAACACCCCCGCCACGAGAAGGCAGTGAGTAGGACTTCCTTGGCAGAGGCTATATATTCACGTGGCCATATGAGAGCATTTCGAGAGGGAGAGCAGACTCTCCCCAGTCTCGGCCCTACCAGGGCATTTGGGGACTGTCATAATTAGATAACATAGGAACAAAATCAAACAAATGTTTAGCAGTAATGGTGAGAAATTGGTGGATGGTAGAAAGGTAGGAGCGTGGAAACTAATATGTGGAATCAGTCCGTGAGGTAATTTACCGTTGTACTGAGTTATGTAGGTAAGTGAAGACAACCAGATAGTGGTTTGTGCGACTATCGTGACCAATGGTTGGAATACGGTTATATAGCCGAAAATTGGTGGTACTGATTTGTTCTCTCTTTGTCTTTCTGTCGGTCTTGAGTGTTTAAAATTATCTCATACTTTCTATTTAGTCTTTTTTCTCTAGTCATATTTTGTATACCCAATGTTTTGTTCTACCACTCGGCACTATCAGAATGTCTACCCCATTTCATTTATTCTGATATCACGTGACATCTTGAACCGATATCCACGTGTCAGGTTCTACATTGTTTATGATACTCTTTTAATGATTAAACTGTCTCTGCTAATCCAGTTCCACTAGACATACTTCTAAGCCATTTCATCATCGCAATTCTGAGTACCCTTGTTAAGGACAATAGGAAGCTTTATCATGGCACACTCACTAGATATTAGCCACCTGATTGATTCAGATGGTATTTTTTGAAGTCATTTATGTGATACGATCCCCAATGATAAGACGTAACTGTCAGGTCAGTTAATGAGTGTCCTACAAGCTAATTCCCGTTTATCGTCTACATCATTTTGCTATGTTTATTTTATGTTCATTTTCTGTTCATAAGCATGTAGTTTAATTAATTGAAAAACTATGGAGAAACTATAATCTATGAACAAATTTTGAGTTTTGGCGCGAAATTCACTCATTACTGTAGTCAAACAGCTTTCATGGACTAAAGTTGACTTCCATTGCTGTCGAAAACCCTAACTTTAATTCCTAAATCAGTACTAATTCTAATTTTTCCAAGGTCACAGTCATTTCTCGAAGGTTGTCCGTAAACTATAATCTAACTGAGACTAAATGTGACTAGCTATCTCGTCTTTGATTTCTTATCGTTCGTGGACTGAAATCAGTTATACGGTCCTGTGAGTAGCCATCACTTTGACACATTATATTGTTAGGTTTATCTGTCGTTTAGCATTCTTTTCATTTTTAACTATCGAAAATTTCGCCTTATCAAGTCGATCAAGAAATCGTCTTCGTAAAACTATCAACATTCATCCATCCACTACTATGTTCACAGTTTTCACCTTTTGGACACATTAGAAGACTTAGGAATCTACGCAAACAAATTTGATCTTCATGTTAACAATTTGTACTATAAATATTAATATTTGTCGATATTTGAACAAATACTTTGACAGAAATTGGGCAATGAGTATAGAGAAGACATTATTTGTGAAAATCATATTTGAAATAATCTTAGCTATTGAAATTTAAATAATTCCAACGTTTCTGCAAACAAACATTGCCTGGATCTCTGTTTTTAATCTGATCATATACTTAGATTCAAACTGACGCATTTCTCATTCATATTTGTATTATTATACATAAATGATCAGTTTCTACAACCGATTGACTAATATTTTCACTCCTTTTATTACCAACCCACCGTTAATTTTTCCAATACATGTGTAAATGTATGCAATGTTGAATGTTCTAAGATCATGTGATTGGTATAAATCCTTACATATTTAGATTTAAAACTTATCTATCACTTTAAAGCCTTTGATAAAATAAGTTTAATTTAAAAGAACTATTTTTCTACTCAATTTCTATATTGTCACAATAACACCATAATTTAGCGTAAGTTAGTTTAAGAGGTGTTTAATGTGTTGTGTAGTGGAAGCTTAGTGACTAAGCCGTTGACTTTTTAACTATGATGTCGCAAGCTCGAATCCCATGCCATCTACTTCGGTGTAGAACAGGCTGGTATTATTATTAGTCTTCACAAATAAAGTTCAACTCAAAGCTGAATACATAAATCTGTACTACTTCATAAGGTCACATTACAGAGTCAAATAACTCATTTGGGAGTTCCTCGTGCTTTTAGTTCTCACATAATATCTTCCTAAAGACTTGATCACCTAAAAAGTATCCTTTTTTCAATCCATGAAACGGAAACTCAATCATTTCTTTCTCTCGTTCCTGATTATTATTTGGTTTTCACGATCTGTACTTTCCAATGGAGTACAATTTACGGATTTACTTCATTATTATGTTTCTTTACGTCCGTTATTTCTGAAGATAAGTGATATATACTGCCGCATGTTTCATCTTAATTTCTGAGACTTATATCTAAAAATTATGTAAAATTCTGTTGTTCTATTCATTCTTACTAAGTATTAATCTTTCTGAAATTTCAACATACTATCCCATTAAGTACAACGAAATGTAAATCATATTTATGCAGGTTGAGAAGTTGCATTCAATCTCATTATTTAACTCAATGTTCAATAAAGTACTGTATGATGTCGTGTCATATACCGTACTGACGGTAGAATCAATAACCGATGGGTATTCAGTCAATCTCTCATCAGACTATTATCATTATATATTATATTATTAGCTTTATTCAATATTATATTTTTCGTACAATATAGAATTCTCATCACAAAATGTTTCAACAACTTTCCGTTTCTTATTTCTTTGTTGATCCTGACAATAAATATTGAGTGATCGCCAGTTAGAAGTTAACAGTTCAGTCAATCGATATCTGAATGATGTACATTCTTTTCGATGAATATTGCCAGCAACCACGTTATCTGTGATTCGTCCTTTTGTAACCTTACAACGAAAGGTTTTATACTTTTCATAAACGCACCTGAATAGGTTATGCGATTAATAGCCATAATGATGTATTAAGACAAACAAAATTAAATAACTTGTTGAAATGTCTTGATGACAGGAATAGGTAACCCAGATGTTCAAACAGGCCGTCATTGTGATAGTCTGAGTGCAATAAATATGGAGCAAATAAATAAGTCGGTTTTGTAGACTGCAATCTGTTATTCGATAGATATATGTTTTATTCCCCCACCATGCTGCATAAATATAGCTTTAGTGAACCAGAAGTCAGGTGGGGAAGACCAATTTATTGTTTAATGCAAATTACTGAATGTCTTCGTAAAATGCGAAAACCATACACTAAATGCTTCATCTTCCATCAAGTGTTTCTTCAAACTTGATCGTTCCATCATTCCTGTTGTTATTACAATCACTCTCTGCATTTCACTTCTGATTGGATTTACATACTACTTATGTCTGACAGGTGTCAGATGAGTTATATATTCCCCTGTCCTTATTATTTATTATTATTGGTTGATTGTCCATTATTGTTGGATTGTTTCGAGTTTTGGTGTGGAAATATATTTACGTTCTAGTCAGGCTGGTCACGTGTTCTTGACCTGAGTCATCTTGAAATCCTGTTGAGTAGACACTGGGATGATATCTAGTGTAGACATTCGTCTAAGGTTAATTAACGTCCCATTCGTGTAAAAAAGAAAACGGATCGTTGTAACAGTAGTATATCGTTTAATTTAAGGTTAAATTGTCAATAAACTCAGTAGTTATTCATTTTTTGTCTTAAACGTTTATCATACTAAATATGGTCAATAAAATATATAGCGAACCGCGATAAAATGTGTATCGCTTGCTTCTGCTTTTTCTCTCTTATCAATGTCTTCTTTTCAACACATTGAATTGACAAAAATATTTCCTACAATATTTCTTCCACTAATCCAACTTCACTCTCTTTATCGGTTATTCTCCTGTTTACTTTTTTCCTTTTCTAACCACAATAGTTATCATTTACTTTGTTGTTTTTAACGCTTCTTAAATACACATATTATAGTTTATCATTTATCAACAAAATTTTTTACGGTCATATATATGTTTGGTGATTTCACTTTTCTTGTGTTGTGTTTATAAAAGAAACGATTTAAAAATTGTCCTATTATAATTAACACTAGGATAAATTATATAATTATTCAGTAGTATAGTTTGTCTTTTCTTAATAATTCGAGTATATGTGCATTGTGACTTATTTCTTCCAATGTATATACATTTAATAGACAATAGTAGTAGTGTAAATATGATTTAAATCACATGTTTTCTTTTATATGAACCTTTCATCAGTTGGATTAAGATATAATACACTATCAGTCTGTCCTATTTAACATGACATGAATGATTTAGTGTTCTGTTACAACTGATAGCAATATTCTGAATTACAAACGATCGATCCATTCTTTTAATATAAGACTGGGATCTGCTCATATCAGATGAGTTGAGGAGCCAGTATGGTTCCTACCTTATTAATGCATCCGCGAATAGAGGGGGGTGGGAAAAAAACTAGCTTTTTAGGAAAGCTTTTATATTCCCAGCTGAAGTAAAAATTTTTAAAAATGTAACAACTATTTGTGTACACACCAAATATGACGTTTGAGACAAAAAAGATTACTAAGCGTGAAACAAAAATAATCAGTACAGTTCATTACGGAAATATGAATTGGAGAAAAGTTACCCTTGGCATTGTTACACGCCATGTGTCATTTATTAGTAATGTTTATAATATGGAACACTACAAGACAGTTTATAACATGTCAATTTTGATTAAATTCAAAACTGTTGATCATTATAATTGAATCTAGTCATTTGATGTTATCATTCTAGCTATGATATGTATGAATGTCTAGTGTCCTTTGACGTCTTAGATGGTGGTTGTACAATTTTAAGGAATCCCCTAATCAAATAAATAACCTATGACTTGGACCGGGAAATTTTCTGGTAACAGTTTGTTTTGGTTTTCTAAATACCCTAAACTACTTCACAAATATCGATAGTGATCTTAACTGACTCGATGCAGTTTTGTATGGCATTTATATTGGTTTCAATGCTTAAAATGATTCCATTTTGTGTAAATCGGTAGTCTGACTAAAATATCCACCACAGTTCCCTATATGAATTTACTATCAACACTTACAGCTCAATTTCTCATTTTTCAACTTTTATTCAGTTGATCTCATTGAGTTCATGACATAACTGATCAAATATTAAGGTTGTCTTTCCCAATACCTTCCAAACGACCATTCATCTCACTAGTACTATGTTGTGAAACGCTCCCCGATTGTCCAACTTCGAATAATACGAACACTTGAGCAACTCAACTACATACCAATGTCCCCATACTCCACTAATATCACTCATTTCTCAACTAATCAAAACCAGCTTTCTTCTTGCTCTTATGACTAATCCTTTTCATTTTTTTTATCTCATTATAGTACCCTTTATGTATTTTAATCATTAGACATAATGTATGTACGTCTAGTCATTCGTTATTTGTTTGTTCATCTATCAATCTTTAAATTTTACACCAAACTATGGTTTTTTATCGATCATTAAAATGAATGTCCTAACTTATGACTACTATACATTGTTATTTGCATGGGTGCTGGTGACTGATCCTTTTACGTGTTCAAAAAGCAACAAAGCATCTTTTATTTTCATTTATTTCCATCTGTCTTTGTCTACATTTCTGGATCTTGTTTAATTCTATATATATATATATATATATATATATATATATATATATATATATATATATATATATATATATATATATATATATATATATATATATATATATATATTGCAACTTGATCGATAGCATTCGATCAGCACTAAGGACCTGACACGCATGAGATTGATCACCACTCAGTGATCAATCAATTGTGATTACATCTCAGTCCTATAGGAGGTCGGTCGCGGCTCGAATAGCTCAGTGGTAACGTCTCTGACAGTGAAGCTGAGTGACACGGGATCGAATCCGCCAGGGAGCATCAGTTCCCTCAAGATCACAGGTACACCTTGCTGACGAGTGCCAAGTAGCACGAAACCCGGGTCCAGGGTTTTCTGTTGACCACCTCCAACCACCATGTTACCTTAATATATATATGTATATATATTGGTTTATCATTTTCGACGATCTTCATTGACTTTCATCTACATGTCTGTATCCATTCTGTTAACTGCCACAAATACCATTCCCTAATTACACATTATTTTGGCCTTAGACATCATACATATTGTTACATGCTGCAAATGTTATGTAAGTGTTGTTTGAGTTTTCCAACCATTGGTCACGATAGTCGCACAAACCACTATCTGGTTGTCTTCACTTACCTACATAACTCAGTACAACGGTAAATTACCTCACGGACTGATTCCACATATTAGTTTCCACGCTCCTACCTTTCTACCATCCACCAATTTCTCACCATTACTGCTAAACATTTGTTTGATTTTGTTCCTATGTTATCTAATTATGACAGTCCCCAAATGCCCTGGTAGGGCCGAGACTGGGGAGAGTCTGCTCTCCCTCTCGAAATGCTCTCATATGGCCACGTGAATATATAGCCTCTGCCAAGGAAGTCCTACTCACTGCCTTCTCGTGGCGGGGGTGTTGTTCACAAAAGTGAGAGGAGGAAAAGCTAATGTCCGGCGCTTTAACTGGGTTGGTGGATGTGGAGGATCCACCTAGGGGAGTTGGAAAACCCTGATTCCAAACCAACGGTGCACATGGGCTTCAGGATCCTGAGGGAACGAATGGCGTATGAACCAACTGTTGATCACCGGCTACCATGGGACTGCATCTCCTTACGATGCTCCACTGCCTTGTGGACTAGACCTTTAGGTCAAAGGCTCCGGGTATGGCCCCTTAAGAAAACCACCTGCTTCAGTCTGGGCACCTGGGCAGTATCACAGCCCTCACACAAATCGAGTGAGATTTGTGAGGCGCATATTTACCTGGTGCTTCCTTGTACCAATATTTATGTGTTTAAATAAATAAATAAATAGAATAACTTGTATGTTTACCCTACCACAGTCCTCAATACTCAGTAATGTGGTGATCGGACTTGTTTGTCTCTTTGTTTGAATGAGAAGCTGTCTGCACAAAAATGATCAGCTGTATGAATATACGTGAATGTGTTCATACTTGATTTATATGCTTAAACTAACCATAGAATTAAACATTCAGTTGAAATATCAAATTTCGATTTATTTTCTTGGGATTCTAGTTTGTAGATTGATAATCCTTCTGAAGATATCAAAACATTTTGTGCTCTCTGACTTTAAAAATACGTTTTTCTGTGTCCTTTGGATATACACAATAAACTATCTGTTAAATTTAACTTCTGTTTTCTATTGAAAGTAGGTATGCTTATGTATCGATCCATCAGTAGCAAGTTATTCATATAGAATATATCAGAAAGCTCCTTGTTCGGTTTTTTTCTATTATCTTATTTGATTGTTATAAGTTTTTTATCAATGGACATCTGCTTGTTGAGTAAAACTGAAAAGAAGAATGCATTGAATAAATTCTTTTTTTAGTATAATAAAAAACTTGATCGGTACTCACTCAACTGTATACCTAATCACCTTATTGTAAAGCTGATTATCGAGAGTTCGAATCCTATGAAAGGCACCAGTTTCCTCAAGATTCTAGATTTCCTACAGTGACTACCACACAACTTCTTAGGTGTAAGGTTAGCTGCTGACTGTTATCAATCGTCCAACTCATAGAATAGGATCTATCGTCGGTTTACTTAGATATATACAAAATAATCTTTTTTTAAAAACACTGCACGAGAATACATAAATTAAAACTCTTTCTATAATTGTAGGCAGAAAAATTGTTGGATTTTATTGATATAAAGAGTAGCACTAAAATGAAAAGTGCATCAAATATGGCTAATATAAAAAATGATAGAAATAATTCACAGTCCATTGGAAATGATAAAAACACTTCACAGCAATATATTCTTAAATTCCGATTATCCGATGCCAAAATCGCTCAACGATTAGCATTACAATTATATACAATATGCAATAGAGTGATAAAAGAGTCAAATAATAATAATAATACAAGGATACAATACAGTGATGTCGAGGAAGAAGAGGACGATAAAAACACTACTTCCGGTATGCTGACACGATTTAACCGACAATTTTGTGATACGTAAGTATATCATTGTTTCTTCAAGCTATGCTATATATATATATATATATATATATATATATATATATATATATATATATATATTATAATCTGAAACTTATCAAAACGATTAGACGGATGCGATGAATTAAACTATAATTTATTGATAAAAAGGCATAAACATTTGTTGTATAAAAGGTTAATTGTAATAAATCAATTGATTGACATTATAAACTAACGGCTCACTTAACTGATGTTGGTTTTCAAATGCTTACTTTTAATTTTTCATGTCTGGTTGACTTCTCCTAAGTGTACAGTTTTTTTTCCTTGGTCTGATTTCTAGTTTTGCATTAAATGTTAATTTAGGATTTTAAAACTGATTGACATCATAAACAAACCTGCATGTTACATAACTATTAAAAATTAAGTAACCCTAAACAATCGTTTCACAATGAATTATAGTACTTCATATCAACGGTCAAAAAATATAAACGCTTACAAACTATATGATAATTATTTAACACGTTAGTAGCTATCTGGACTCAGTAGTTTGATAGAGAACATTGTGTTTGTAGCAAGAAAGACGAGGTTCGAGTCTCAGTTTTAAAATCAACACTGTGATGTTGATACATCCACTTGATGAGCCCTGGATTTGACAAAGCATCCATCTTGAATTCCACTCCTAGCCATAATCGACTTTACTGAATTTCTTGTCATAGATACACCTCTCGCCTCGTTACATAAGATTAATCTACTAAGGAGTCTCAAACTGGTACTAAACAACTATTCCTCTGCCCCTGTGACCCATTACTTCCCTATCTGACTGTACTTTACGATGATGAAATATTCGAAAATCCATTTACCCCTTTTCAAATTGTTACCCGAACTAATTTTTCACTGCCAAGTTTGATTATATATATATATATAATTGATACTGATTATATGTATTTCTTGATGATTATTGGACGAAAATTATTACCATCATGTGTGTTCCAGTTTGTTATACTAACAATTGACTCCAGTTTCTATACCACCTGTATTTGAATGTGTAGTTGAGATTCTTGTTTTTCCCTTAGTATTATAAGTATTCAAACCTTATCAAGAAATGATGTTTATTACAGTTTAGATTTTAATGTATTTATGACATTTTATGATAATACTGTTGACTCATCCATGTCATCCTTTTGTTTATAATAGTTATGTATTGATAAGATGAATTATAAATTATCTTTCTGTTTTATTGTTAAGATTACCTTCTGATAATCCGATTCATCCTTTAATATAAATATTTTGGTAAAGAAAAAACGTCACTGGATATCGTTTATTATATATATTTAGAGATATCTTGCCCCAGTGCACGTTTGTCCCAAGTTTTACGTTGTTTACAATTAACAGATTGATTAACTGATTGTTGTAATCAGATATAATCTGTTATTCACATTTCTTTCGAGATTGTATATGCGACTATGCAATAATCAGGATTGCATTTTGACAAACATCTGTACCACTGAACTTACTGGCTGATACTACGAAGCTTTTAACTAAACATCGCTGAAACATTTTCGTTTGATGTTTCATCTAACCAACAGTCGCCTCGTAGTTCTACATAACATGAAACGACTGTTCGTTTTTTTTTCGAAAATATTAACGAAATATTGCATCCAGGTTTCACAAACATTGTAAAACTAACTACCGAATGAACCTTGAAATTAGGACATTAGGTCGGGAAATGTTTACGCTGTCAAGAAGCGAAAGTTCTCAGACACTGAATCTCCTACGCTAATTTTTCGTGAATCAGATGCAAAGATCGACCATGTACACATCGATATTGTCAGATGGGTACATGCACCGGATAACCTGTATCCATATATTCACTAAATGTACAGTCGTAATCCAAGTCAAATGTACCATAGTGACAATATCTGCAAGAAAATTTATCATACACTGAATATCTAACTTGAGAGCAATGTCAACAAAATATACGACCAGTTGCTGTGATCAATTTAAAAACAGGTTATTTCCAGGTATTTCCTGTATTAAATGAATGAGAAAATACCATGGTAGAGAAATTTAAACGTCAACTTGCAGCTCCTCTTACAGCTGCTGGTAGCGATTATAATTGGAATTGAAAATCTACCTTTAGCACGTCTGCATGAACACACAACATTTAGGCATGTCATGTATTGATGTTAATGATTAATGTACACTTAAAGGTTGTTCAGTATTAAGATGTAAGTTTAAAGAAAATTGTTTCTAAGATCTTGGGAAGCGGAGGAAATTAGAAAACCAATGTTTGTACAGCGTTCTGAAAAAAATTAAAATACATACAAGATCTACCAACGAATAGCTTAACTCAATGCTATGGAATGTGTATGAATATATCAAATGAAATGCATTGGGAGCGAAATCGAATCGGAGGAATTTAGTGCACTCCAGTTATCTTTGTGGCCAACAAACTCTTTTGTCGGATCTGATTATGTTCCCAGTACTGTTGTACTTTTTACTGGGACCTTTCTCGTTGCAATCTTATTGCTTTGCTTTCGTGTCGGTTACTGATGTCGGGAGCTTTGTCGCTAGTGTTTCTCCATAACTTTATAAAAATGCTAGTTTTAATCGATCTATGGTCACGGTCTCGTAATTTACCTCTCTCTACAAAGTGACTCTTTACCCGTCCATTATCAAAACTCAAAAAGGACTTTTCATCCTAGACGTTTAATCCACTTTGCGATGACTCTTGAGGAAACATAATAAAATATTGCTATTTCCTCCGAAATTTCTGAATGTCTATTAACTCTAATAAATTCCTTGTAAACTCTTTCTTTTTGTAACTAAATTATATCCTATACATGTAAAATCAATTATCCAGAACCTTTATGTGATCTATACTCCTTTGACGTTTTTCTTGTAGACCAGCATCTAACTCCATTTTGATCTTGAGAAGATGCTATGTATAAAATATTCCATCTAACTCCGTATATTCCTCAGGTTAACCCTATTTGTCTGACGGTAGTAGTAAGAGGCAAAATACGGGTTGCGTTGGAGAAATTTATTTCAAACATTCGTTTATCCAGACAGACATTCGGAATAAGAAATGGAAAAGTGAAGCGGAGCCATGAGTGTCGTTGGAAAGGTGGAAAGCGAGTCATCGTCAGCAGGCCACAATAACGTTACTTTTACAGGCTCTCAGATTCTGTAATTGTGTTACCACTATTGGGACGATCCCACCAGGACTAGCCTCTTGTCATTAAACCAAGATGATCTTGGATCTATGTACCTCAATGTGTCGTAGATGTACCTTGTTGAAAATCTACATATTAGGACAATTAGTTTCCAAGTCGTACTTGGAAGTTTTCTGCAACATCTCAGTTGAAATCAATCCATGAAGAACACCAATTACTGCGAATAAATAATTGTTTATACTTGTTTACTTGTTAGAGCTTTCTTTTTAGTGTTTTTTCATGTTTTTTTCAATACAATAATGACTCACAAATAAAGAAAAATCATAACAATATTATAATATAAAACTATTGGTTTGTAACAACATGCAATAGTGATACGTTTTTCTTTATGGTTTTTTTATTGTAATCGGCAAGCGTATCAAATATGTTTTTGTTTTCAGTTTATAGTTTCACATGTTCCATAAATATTAGTCTAAGATTTCCCCGTGTTTATTCATGTTCATTCCTGGATAATGTCGAAAAATAATTTTTAAGTGTAGTTTAGGGATGTTTGTGTACATATGTTGTCTGTATGTACTTGTTACCATTATTTCCGACTCTTTATCTTATTGATATTTTATTGTATAGTATTAAATACAGTGATAGTTTAGTAATAAATATATCTCTTTTTTATGTCCTAATCATTAGGACAATTGTATTTCTGACGTTTCTTGACTTAATGTAAGCCACCTCTTCGGAATAAATAAATAACCGAATTCGGTTTTACTTTTTAATAACTTACATGTTCCTTAGCACGATTCGAGATCTCATAAGAGGATCCCGATGTAGAACACAGTGATCGACACAACGTAATCTGTAGACACAACTTTGTGTACATTTACGTAATCCTAAGTCCCTCTGCCCTCAATTGAAAAGGCCTGAACATTCATCCAACCTGGACTGTTTATTCAAACAACTACATTTGACATTATTTATTTACCACAATTACATACACAGTTAATTTCAATCCCACTACTTTATATTACAAATGCATACATTTTTCATAACTGACACACAAATTAATAGTGTTAGGTCATACAAATTCACCATGACCGAGAATAACTTGGCATTGAAAAATTCAAACTTATTATGATATTGATTGTACTAAAAATATTCTCCAACGTTTCCCTCGTACTATTTATACTTGTGCTAATTCTATTTTGGTTATTTATTTATGCTGAAGAAGTAGCTTACGTTAAGTTACGAAACGTCAGAAATACAAATTTTATACTCATTGTGATATAACAAAAAATATGTTTATTACTAACTTTCCACCGGGTGCCCATTTTATTTGAAACCATCAAGTTTGAACTTAGCATTGGTACTTACAATGATAGATTAATATTCATTAAAAGTATGTGTACTATAACAATTACAAGCTTGTTTTTAAACATATTGTAAATGGGACTGTGCAGTATATCATACAACATCCTCAATAATTAATCCTTATCTGCCTTCATTTACGTAGTTCTTGATTTAGATTAGCAGTCATTGTTTCTCAATGGTAAATAGAAAAGACATTTGTTCCTTGCGTGATTCAAGTAGAATATTCTCACAATATTATGTTCATGTTATTTATCAATAAAAGAGACGTTTATAAAACTCATTTTAATAACAAATATTGGATTTTTTACTTTTTGATCGTCCACATGGATACCAATACTCATTTTTTCATTAAGTTAGAAGATTTTTGTTGAGATTCTATGTATATTTTCATTGTATTTTCATAACAAATGTCAAACGAAGAAAATTAGACCATGAGACCGTTCAAATTTACCCCTCTTAAATGGCTCAATTGTTCAAAGTGATTGAGTTTGAAAATGTTTGTCATTTGATTTCAACTTTACGTATTAAAAGTACCCTCTTCTTCATGATAGTTGCAGGATCTAGGTTGAAGATCATATGAGCTCTTGGCTCGTCATTGCTGTGTGGTCTGAAATAACCGTGAGACTAATTTTGAATTGCACAAGTTGATGCCAGTAAGTCAATTAAGAGCATAGTATCAACTACAATTCACTAAGTGCACTCACTCACTTAGAATTAATGTATTGGTCTTTCGATTTAAAAAATACCATAATTTATGCATTTGTAAGGATTACTATATTATCACCATGGTTTCTTAACTATATAATTAATTCTTAATACTTCGGTTAAAGAAAAATACACTTAATTTATTGATATGTAAATAGTGCTAATTTTCGATTATTCGTATGCGTGCTTATTGTAAGTTATTCTCTATTTTGTTTGTCTAATTGATCAATTCAGTGTATCAGTGTATATAAAAAGCGTTACTGATGTTTGTATCTCAAATCACTTTATCAATAGATTGTGTTTAATTTTATCTTAACGAGTTTAAATACAGTATTACTCGTAAAATTTATGGAATAAGTATGAAATGCATTGTTTTCTCGTCAACTATGTATAAGATGTTTTTCAGTTGTATATATCATTTTTAATCATGCTTATTTGTTTTATGTCGTACCAAGTTAATGATAAGTCTTTCTAATTTGATGCTATACTCGGATCCTAAGCTATTCTCGTAACACCCAAGCTAAATGTACACAGAGACTTGAACACGAGAGAAAAGGCGCAAAATATGTGAGAAGCACTTTACTCCAAAGGTTCATTTATGTACAGAAAATATAGGGTTTTTATAGTAATTTCGAAGTCCTTGGGTTGTCCTGAAAATTCTGGAAGGCTACTAAACATAGTAGCAGTGTAGTAATCAGCCAATCAGAAAGTCTGTATGTGACTTTTCACTTTCGTGATGTTTCTAGCAAAAAGTCTGGTCAATCGCTGATTGGATAAAATGCTTCTTAATGTTTCCTGAGCCTTTCTTGTCTATTGCGAGAAATTTTCAAGATAGCCCTAACACCTCCTTCCTTTCAAGAAATAAGACTTTTTCTTCGGGTTTACTTGCAGCTTGATAACTGGTTTTTGCCGCGTTCGGACTTCCTTGGTATCCAGCGTCTGTGAGTGTCTGTTGAGGTTCCTGTCACTGGAGTATCTGTAATTATCTCTAGCGGAAGCCTCATTCGACTATCTACATTGTCTAGGATCCTTTTTCTCTGTGTATTTGATTAATGTGTCTAATCCACGTTCCGAAAGTCCCACGTACGTTTTGTAGAACATTTCCCATTCTCTTTTCAATGACTCCAGGTCTCCGACGGTTTTTTCCTCCGCATGACTTGACGAGCACTTTATCACCGACGTTAAAACTCCGAAGCAACTAAACAGTTCAAATAATCTGCTGATCGTTTCACCGGCTGTGCATTTTGCCATGGTATAAATTTGTGGCCATTTTGTTAGTGCGTCCACTATGACGAGAATTATCCTTCCTCGTATTGGGCCGGCAAAATCTTCGTGCAGCCTCTCTCAGAGACTATCAGGTTTTTCCCATTGTTGTGATTCACACTTCTTTGGACTTTTATCTGCTTGCGAGAAATTTTCAGGATCGCTCCAACAGTTAAGAATTTGTTTGTGACTTCTACTAGTTGAGTATTGATGAAAGTTATGTTTGCATCTAGTGATTAATGTTGCACATACTCACTGTGTCTGATCTTACACACTTGACTTCGAGCTATGCTTCAGTTGCATGAAGTTTAGGTTTTACTTCATAAATGACTCACTACACAGAACTAGGTCTGATGATCTACAATCTTGGAATCCGAAGGTGTTGAAAGTTTGATACTTTGACCTTTAGACAATCGCTCTACTTTTGAATATCACAGAAGAGTATTTAAGTATTATTCTTTAGAGATATTGACACCCACTGCCCATGTGTATCTAATTACAAGAATTGGTCTTCAACGTATTCGGTTTGTTTGTCCTTTTTGTTGCCTTTGAATGTTTACTTTATTGTATTTTATTTAGTACGTAATTTTAAATTCAGTACATTCGATGGAAATTTTAAATTTTATCTACTGTTTCTCGTTTTGTTGACATTATTCCTTGTTATTTTCATTTGTTCACTGTTAATCTCAAGGCCTTCTTTTTTTCCTACCTCTCGTTCCTTTATATATTCAACCTTTTCTTTCTCCTCATTATGACATTTGTCTCTCAATGGTTTTCTTTAAAAATATTATAATCTCATTGTATTCCCATAGTAGTGTTATCATGAAGATAATTTTATGTATCTGTCTTAAAAGTTGTTATAAGGTGAAACAAAAATATCATTTCACTGGATTTTAGTTATACAATATATAACTGTCGTGAATTTCTGTTCAGGTTTATAACAATAGTTTCTTTTTTTCCCAAACTTCAGTGGTTACCATCTGAGTCACACAGTTTTTGATCGATGATACAGCTAGGTTCGGAGCTGGTAACCTATTGATCTAAATTTGGTAATAGTAACCATCAAGTCACAACTGCAAAAGCTAGTATAAATTGCCACATAAATGCATTTACTATTTATTCTAACTAGGCTTTTAAGGTGAACTTTGATAAAAAAATCACTTAATTTTTTCAACCATATGATTTGTCAGTCTTTACAGTCACAATTAGATTACATATCACTGTCATTTTTCGGATAGAAAAGACCAGAAACTAAATAATTTGTCAAAATCAACACAATGGTCTATTGGTTTAATTTTTTGTGCTACCTAATAACAGTTAATGTGTCCACAATCTAATACCATATTGTTAATTATCTTATTATGTACTGCATCTACTTGCCGTTTAAAAATATAGTAATTGTTTTGCATCGAAAATTGCGAGATTCAAAGTCAGTGGTTCAACGTTAACACTTGCATTTCACGGAATCTGGAGATTACGGGTTCTACCTCACATTGATTATCATGCTCTCCTATCCAAAGAATAAGTACTTTATTAAAATTGCAAATTAACGGAGCTACCGTTTTTCGAAAATAGTTTTCATATCAGGTCAAATTCAGCCAGTGAAACAACTGGAAACCAAAAAGCGTTTAAATTTTTTCCTACACACCGCACAGCTCCACTACAGCCGGTTAGTAACACTCACAGCCCATAGATGAGCCAAAGAGTCACCTGCTGACCCAACCAAGATCGACGGTAATCAAAACTAATCAGTTTGGCCATAAAAGACATGCAGCAGTACCGGTCGTGGTGAACACCCAGGGAAAGTGCGCTGACAAGCGGACCCTCACACCAACAGTACGTGTGCCGTATGCAAAGCATTGGGTAGCTTTTTTGTCCTAGGCACCCTAAGGCTTCTCAATAGTCTACATCCTATCAGTAAGTCGGAAAAAACGATACAATAGTCCAATCTAACGATTCACATCTATTTTATTTAGATTAGGCAAGTATTTTTTCTAAGCCGACTTTTTCCATTGTAGTTTCTTATAATTAATTTTGTAAAGCATCTGTCTGTACTGTTTAATGAATTGTAATATAGATCAAGGTATAATTTTCATTTTCTTTTTTTTTCTTTTGACAGATTTAGATGTTTTTCAAGACCTTTCAATATGAAATCGAAAATTTCTAAACGTAAACCGTGTTCAACATTACTAGATCCTAATACAACTACACAAAATGTCAATAATAATATAAACAATAATAATATTGAGGCATCTATAACTGTTCAGCCATCTATATCTGATCCTACGCTGCTAACTGATAATAATGTATTACCAATATCGACTACTAGCATACCTACCACCAGTGTTACTTTTGTTACAAGTAGTATTAGTAGCAATAGTGATTGTGTAACAGTGAAATCCTCAGTCCACGATAATGTTGATGATAAAAATCTTAAAAACTGGTCATATTCTCCTATGTATTCATCCATTCAATTGAATGCACCTACAATGATTTCAACTAATCAATCACCTATCACAGTGACTACTCATACAACATTTACATCAAATTCTAAATTGAACCAATCGAATATTATCACGACGAATTATGAAAAAGTACCAGTAGTTGTGGAACCAATTGAAGTAGCTGCCGGTGAAGCACCAGCAGAATTAAACGAACGTGATAAACAAGTTTTACAGTAAGTAAACTGTTTTGTCTGTAAAATAAAAACAAGAAAGGACAATACAAGCACTATACATTTACTGTATTCAGTCAGTCATCGTCAACGTAGAGTCTAAGACAGATGTAAGTTAATAAAAATTACCGTAGCACATTAACAACATGAGATAAAGAATGTAGGGCGAATTGCAAATGAGATCAAAATAATTTGGTTGAAATTATAACGAGAATGACTGGATATTAAGAAAATAGTCGAAGAACAAAGAGTGGAACAGTGTATTGAAAGAACCTCAAGATCGAAAAATAGATAGTAAATGTACCTACACATTTTGAACTAGTTCTATATGAAGTCAAGTAAACTATCCTTTTTTTCTACTGTGGTAAATATTTAATTAAAAAAAAGGAAATTTATGTTAAGTACGAAAGCATAAGCTCTAGACCACTGAGCCGGCATGCAACGGTGTTAATGTCTAACCTCAACCAATCCACGAAATTTAATATCAATTCCTGATATTTCACTCTCTAAAATTATTAGTTTACTCGTTTCTTCCTCAGTAATTAAGTGTAAATTGATGGAACAGAATGTAAGTAAAACTCACGTTATTCAATATCAAATGTTATACTTATTTACTCGCTAATGTGTTAGAATTCAGGTTCATGATGTACTGCTTTGTATCCAGATCACTAAATCTCAGCTTCACTAGATTGATTATTAGATCAGTTAACCAGGAATTGTGGATATAAGTGGTATCGTAGGTCAAATACTTGTTTGTGTGTTTCATCCAAGTTTGAATGACTATCTATCCATCTTTGCTTACCATGCTTGTGGATTAAGGCTATATCGAGGCAATACGCACATTATGCACATATGCCAATTAGAGACTAACCAGTTGCAGTCCCAACACATCAATGGGAAGATTCAAACAAACAATACTAAATGAATTTATCTATTGAATGATGAATAGGCTTATCAAATAACCACTTTCGATAGTCTACCTAGAGCGAATTGGTTTATTAGTAGATGAAAATATTTCTCCATATAATATTTTTATTTCAAAATAAAGACTTCATTTATCCTTATCCTCTTTTAAATCATCGAATAAAACGTCATAATGTAGAATTAGTTATGCCAAATCACTTTATTTCCTTACTGCTTTCTAATGTTTAAGAAAAATAAAACTTGCTCATCTAGGCTACCATCTAAACAATACTATTTCAGAAATCGATCGATAGTTACTGAACAATATCCAATTAACCAATCTCGTTGCCAACATGTTTTTTTTAATGTATTTGTTTAATGATAAAATTATTACCTTTTATACTAACTGGCTTTTAGTGTTGGCGAACATCTTTGCAACCATTCAAGTTTTTCATTAAGTGATTTGTTTTTTTTTTTTGATACGATTATTATTCACACTTGTTACAAACACTGATATACATTGTGTGCTTTGAAACTTGTGAATTTGGTTTACACCAAAATTTTGTTTGACTTATTAGTTATGTATATGTTCAATTATAATGAGTTGATCCAATTTTGATGGAATGAATCATTGACTTAAAGTATAGTCTTATGACATTTTGAAAAAGTTTTTTGTGGTCTAATAAAGCATAAACTTACTGTGTCTGTTACAATGTTAAGATGTATTTATAATTTATGACTGAAAAAAGAAGTAACTAATGAATTCAATCAATTTATATTTGTTCATTAAGTCAATCATTGACTATGAATAAATTCACTTTTTTATTTAAAGAAACATGATAAACCGATCTCTACATGGTAAATATAGATACAAGTTAAGAATGCATTAGATTGGTGATACAATAAATACATTGATTGTCTTCAAGAAGTAGATGATCAAATTGTTCTGGTCATTTAATAACTAATCAATTTATGAACTTTAATCCAGTTGCATATCACAAGTTTATATCGACTAGAAAAGTCTGTTAAATCTTGCTATCGATACTCCGAAACTATCTTCCTAGCTGTTTCCGATAATTCCAACTACTTTGTAACGTCAACTGGGACACTAGATAAAAGGCGAGAATTGTGAGTAATAGCATTATTCCAAGGGAATATTTTTGAAGTTACACATGACCTTGAGCTTCTGGGAATTTCTGGATCCATTTTAAATATAGTAGTGGTAGAGATAAATATCTCATCAAAACCGTGGTACGTGAATCTTCATTTTCTAAGTGTTTCTGCGAAGATCCTATGCAATACTGATTAGATAAATTGTGTGATAATTTTAGAGGGAATGAAGGGTTTGTACAAGAATCCTGGGATTAAAAAACTCGTAAGATGGGTTGTGTAATAATTGAACATTATTTGAGGATTTTACATAATTTAGGAGAATTGAGTCAGTGGAAATGCATAAGTAAAAGGGTGGTTTAAATATGATGGAAGAGCGATATAACAAAATAAAACTAATGACCGAAAATTGAATTACCAAGGTAGTAATAGGTTTATTACTGTCTCTTTTTGAATATGTGGATCAAGTTTGAGTTGACCTCCGATCTGTTCTTGCATATATATATTACCGTAATGTAAAATTTCAACAAATATTTGGTTTCAATAGTTCAGATCATGAGTCAATTGAAGCTAGACCACTATGGAAAACCTGGAAGCACAGGACGGTCGTTTGGTTGTAAGCAGCTGATGAGAATTCGCGAAATATAATCCTCAAATATGACCAAACACATGGATCTTACTGCTAGATAATATCTAACGTTAAGTTAATCTGCTTAGTTACAAGTTTTCAAACCATTTTGTAGTGTTTTGTCTAATCCAATATAATGTATTTAGAGATAAACAATGCAAGATTTCCAGCATCTGTTGAAATACTAAAACTTTGGAATTATTGTATTTCAGAGTAATTTGAACAGCATTATTTTTTGGAAAGCTTTAATCTGTCAGAGTTCGATCTGTATAATATTATCTGACCCATAGAACTAAATTTCTGATAATGTAAATGTACTGGAACTCCAGTGAATATTTTGGAATACAAAAGTGAACGGACTTAATTCGCTCTCTCTATTTCAGATCAGTGCGCAATTTCTTATCTATTTATATGACAAGTTTATTATGCAAACAATCCAAAAAGGAATCGGATTCACCTCATTCTCTGTTATTGTTTACTTTTTTTTTGTTTGTGTTATTGTTCAAATATAATCAGTATTTTGTGGTTGTTGTTCAATTCTAAGCTTCTAGCTCTTTAGCAGGATCGTTAGATCCTATACCGACCACGGAATTGCCATCTGATGAATACAGCTCTTTTTATTTGAACATCATTCATTGTCATCTATAAGTGATTGTTTCTTTGTGATAGACTATGCGATTCCACTCAAACCATATGATGTCAAATATTCTTAACTCCCAAAAATTACACATTTTCACTAGAAGTTATCGTAGAATGTTTCGAAAATTTCTTTTGAATTACACACTTCTACACAACAATTTCAAATAATTAATTAAAACTTACCATATTTTATCTTTGATTTTGTTTAGTTCATTACTAATGAATAAATCTCCAACGATTGTTTCCTCTGTACCTGTTAATAATTTCTCGTACACCGTCACTAACACTTCAATGATGACAACGACAACACCCATAAAATCTGTTTCAAATGAATCATCCTCACCTGTGTTATCGTCATTCAATAATTTGTCATCTGTTGCTATGATTAAATCAAATTCAACATTTCGTACGGAATCGTCAAACATCAGCCCCACCATAAATACTACGATAACAACATCAGGGACAACAAAAACTATCTCTAATCAATCTTTTGCACATAAAACAAATAGGTCAACTATCAATGAAGATAATTTATCAAAACAATATACAAATGAATATAACTTTTCATCATCGGCTATTCCAACAAATGTTAATCTTGCTACATTTTCACATTCATCATCGTCAATGCATACTGAAATATCAGGACAGAAGAATTTTATCCCATCATCCAATAATTCTAATGTTACTAATACACATTTTGTAAAATCGAAATGGGATACAACCGTTGTAGAAAAACCGATTTCTCATGACGAGAGGTAATATTGATTTTTATGAGTTTAAATCTTTTGTCACATTTTTTGTGCATTTCTATTTGTCAAAAGTCAGTAATTCATGAACAATGTAAAACCTGATACTTATACGTATCCATCGGTTCGAGTTATGACACCATCATCACTACATTGAGATGAGATTATCGAGAGGAATTTTAGAATTACTAAGGTAGTAACATTATGAGTGGTAGTAGAAAAAAAGTAAGCATGAACAATATGATTCAAGAAAAAAAAGTCATGTTACCCAACGTCATTAAACTGTAGTTAGTCTGCATAAGCCAACATGGCTCAATTAAACAGTCGATGACTTTGTGAACTGGTGCTATGTCTCAGTTTGTTTACCCTTAACTTCCTTCAAACTTTCTGACACGTCCACAAGCATCTTTCGTCGAATAGTCTATATATAAACGGCATTCTTTGAAGAGTTTGGATATATATATATATTCGGTGTATGGTTATATGCGGTGGTTTCTTTGATAGAATTGAAATCAGTATTTAGTGATTACAAGGAATTTTCTTTGACTAATGAGTTTTGACATCTCTAGCACACCAACTCGTTCGTCGTAAGTTGAACAGCATTCATAAATAATCCTCTATAATATATCTCCAGTTTGTTTGAATTCATTTTAAATTAATTCTTTCCAGAGATATGTTTTCTCTCGAATGTCTCATAGTGTGTATCTGTCCTACTATTAACTACCACTAGTATCGTTTCTAAGTAATATATTTTAACCTATTTTTCATCGTTTCAATGTACACTTGTTTCGTCTTTTTTTTCGCAAAAATCTATTATCACCAATAAGTTCAAATGATACAATCCATCCATTTATTTTTATCATATATCAATTCAAATAATCATAAATGCGTGTTAAAGAAAATAGAATGTACAAGCCAAATGCACTTCAAATTAATCCTTATCTTTTTTGGTAAAACACACATAAATACATCACCGTTAGAAAAACAATTTTGAAACTGATGAATGATTCATTCAATTACGTATGATATTACAGTGTAGACATTTTTTTTCTACAGAAATTCTAATTTTTATAATAAATTTGGGTAGGTATAATTAAGATGAATAATAACAAGCTATATGTTATGATATTCTCTTCCTTTCAGTACTCAGCTTTGTTAGTATATTATCATTTTTATCAATACTGCCTTGTCCCCTCGTTTTACAGCAAAGAATGGTAAACTAATTAAATAAAACACTCATCTTTGAATCAAGAGGTAATAGGTTCGAACTCTTCTTCATCTACTTTGAATAATATCACTAGAATTCATAGTGGCTTAGAACTCAGTACATAATTCTGCACTTGGTAAATAATTCACTCTTATACATATTGACTCACTAACATGTTGCTCCATTGGTTACCTTTAGTTTGTTTAATTGACATATAATCGTTGTCAGATGTATCTGGAATCAACAAAAATGTCATCATAACACTAGTCGATCAACTAAATTCAATTCATTAAACATAGCAGAACATTTATTTTATATACAATTTTTCATGAGAACATTTAATCGAACTTCATTGAACAGTAAATAATCTTTTTAAAGTTGATCGTAACAAAATAATTTATCATCTCCTTCGAGAAGATTACATTAGCTTACTTTTGTTTACCGCTGATGGTAATATTATTGACTGATAACAATGTAAACGCATTTACATTTGAACTACATACCTCAGTATTTTATTTTATACATAATGTAAGTGGATGAACGACAGTTTTTTTTCAGAAGGTGGTTTTTGTGGAGAGTTTAGTTATTTTATAGTTGAATTCATGAATCAATTGAAGCTAGACCACCATGAAAAACCTCGTATTCACTCTAGATTTTCTTTAAGAACAATTGTTTAATTAGTCATTATATCACAATATATAGCTTCAATGGGCATAACTGGTCAAGGCGTATCGGTTATCTTGTAAACACTGCCTTTCAGTTTTTTTTATGTATTATATAATAACGAAAGCAGTCACACAATCTCGTTTCACTATATTGTTCACGAAGAGAAGCTTGAATTCTCCACTCAAGTAGCCAATGATCATTATTCATGTCTAGTTGGACTGGAAGAGGATCAACTTATTCCCAAACTGATTGCATGAAAAAGTTATCACAGTACACTACAGTCACATCGCTAATTTTGTTAGTCAATTTTGCTTAGCTTAGATTAACACACCCTGAACTTATCTCACCTAAATCCATTATATTGATAAACTTCAAATGTGAAGTTTTTCTCCTTCATAAAATGAAACTTCATTTAATATAATATGAGAAACAAACCAATTCTTTGTCTAGGTCAATGTGTTTAAGTAAGTTGATCACTGAATAGGTAATATTGTCGCGTACACACCAAGTCCAATTGTTTTCTTTTTTTAAACAATAAGAAACAAATACACTACTACTTGAATGCGCTCACATCTTACAATAATGTATTGTTTTTTTTGTATATTCATTGCAAGTTAAAGAGATGATAATTTTCACGTGTGAAATAATGAACAATTATTTATATTCATAATACTTTTCAACATAATAGATTGTTATTCACATTCAACACTTATCTAGGTGTAATCCAGTTAATTATATCCTAGTTACTACTATTATTTCTAACAGAATCATTTCAGTTAGTAATATATAATAGTATTGATAATAACAATATATATCCTACTGAATAATACTAACTAATAACTAATCTATATTAATTAAATCACTAAATTAGGTCATGATTGTTTGTCACATACACCATTATCCATAATTGCATTAATTAATTGTTTGATTCATTAGATAATTAACTATATCGCCTATGATACAGCTATTTAAATAGTTAAACTAAGCGTGAAATAACCGCTCTTGTAAACAATATTTGTTTGCTGCTGTAACTTAGCCGGATTTAAGTTACATGTAACTATGTTGACTATGCTGGCACTCAATATTCAGGTTCTGTAAATGTAAATGTTACTAAAAATTTTTATTAATAATTCAACTTGTGTTTGCCATAATCAAATTTATGTGTTCGGCTCTGATCTATGCTTTTTTTATAAGTTCTGTTGTTACTATCCTGGTTCAAAAACTATAGGCACCGTGGAATGTATGGTTAACGTGCTAGCTTAAGAATTTAGGTTGACTGCCTAAGTTACATCATAAATACAGCTAATATGTGTCTCTGTGCTTGTATCAAAATTAATCTAGGTTGCTTAAGTTAAAACTAACATTTTGTAAAAATTTTTATGCACTGTGATATTTAATTGTATATTTTTAATATTGTCTTGTTTGGTAACCAAAAGAAATTTATTTAAAGCTAATTAATGCTCTTTGTTTGATAGTTCGGACAACCTCAATCATGAAAGTTCATTGCATTATAATCGAAATTCAATCAATCAAATCGATCGGGAACATCTGATAAAATAAACACTTTTTTGCCTCGTTTGCAATTGGTTCACACGATCAATAATTAAGAAAGATGACATTTTAAATGTGAATATTTTCTTTAGATTTATCATTGTTAAACTTTAGTTAATTCATTTTTTTAAATATTTGTCTTAGTGATGTATTATAGTTTTTCCACTCTTAGTCACCAACTTATCTATTTCTATAACGATGTAGGTGCATTATGTCATAATATTAGAAATGTTTTCATTATTAAAGATTATTGAAAAAAGCAGTACGTATATAGGAACTATGAGAGATATCCATATGGTTTATTTGTCGTTAATATTGATTTTGGGAAATTATTGCCCTGAGTTATATATTGAAAGTGACCTAAAGGTAGATTGATTATAAGATCAATTTTCCCCCTTATTTATTTATAGTCTGAATCTTCAAGCTACTTCAGAGCATGTTAGTTGTGTCACTGGATCATCTATGAAATTTGTTACAGCACATTCAGTCAGTGTGGTTACTACTAAAAGCAACGGTGCTTCAACAGTCGACGATCATAATGTCAAGTCTGCAGTTAATCATGCCTCAAGTTTATACGCTCCACAACCATATGCAACTATTAATTCCGATACGAATAATAATATTTCAAATGATACGAAGCCAACTTTAAACGGTTTTAAATCTGTAATGGAAGATGATTCTCGTAAGATTATGAGTTCTACTTCTATATCTTCACCTTCAACTATATCAACTTCAGATTCATTTCAATCGCGTATTAAACCACCTTCATTTACTGTAAAAACATCAGATTTAAACAAAATAAGCACTACAAAAGTAACTTCTACCGTTAAAGTTGATGAATCTTTCAATTCCAACCATGTAATACAGAATAATAATAACACAGTGTCTAATTCATTTCATACACCAGAAAGTATTAAGAGTCATAATAAAATAGATTCTCCAGAAGTAAGTTAACTTTTTTTTATACCGAAAAACTGTTTCAATCAATTAATGCTTAACTGTTGAATAAATTAAATCGTGATATTCTGTTAGGACTTCATTTATAAGGACGTTTTAAAATGAATAACATGGCAATGTGTATTTCCCCTCACAGAGTCTCATCAGTTACAATCATTAACGTCATCAACAAGAAAATACAAACCGCTATCAATTAAATATTACATTGGAAAAAAGCTGTAAACCGAAGTTATATATAGATAATTACAATTCCTGCATTTGTATTTGGCTGAAGTTTGTTAATCAGGCTGACGAATTAATTGCGAAGAGATATTTGGAATTATTTATTTATATGAACACATAAATATTGGTACAAGGAGGCACCTATTACATACGCGCGACACTTCGTCATTCGATTTATGTAAGGGCTAGGCTGAGCCTTCGACCTAAAGGTCTGATCGACACGGCAGTGGAGCAAAGTAAAGAGATGCAGTTCCATGGTAACCGGTGACCAATAATTGGCTCATATGCGATTTGTTCCTTCAGGATCGTGGAGCCCATATGCACCATTGGTTTGGAATCAGGGTTTTCCAACTCCCCTAAGTGGAAATTCGCTTTGCTTCCTCTTAATTTCGTAAACAACACCCTTTCGAAGAGAAGGCATTGAGTAGAACTTTCATGACAGTGGCTGTATACGCGTGGCCATGTGAGAGCGTTTTGAAAGAGAGAGAGCGGACTCTCCCTAACTGATTTATAAATTTTTTGTTCAATTATGTTATTTTCTTCAAGCCATGGAATCATGCTTTTAGTGACTTCGATCAATCCGTCCATAGGTTGTAGTCCTACCGATTCATGGTACAATGAAATATCTCACATGCTAGTTTTACACACCGAGTTCGAACTAAAACCATTGAATTACTACGTTCTCTGTATTGCAACAAAAATTCCGATTTACGCATTATTTTTCAAATACCAAGAATCAAAAACTGTATGAAAGATAACATTACAAAGTTTAACAAACTGAAATATTTTTTCTCAAAGATTTTGCAATTTATTCTTTTTGGTTTACTAACACATTGTCATCGAAAAAAAAATCTCTTCGTTAAATCATCTTTAGCTCTTCAATGCGTTTCCTTCATTATTATAAACTTATTTATGAAAGTTAATTTTAGTTGTAAACCAACAAGTTTGGTACCCAGCAGTTTGCATGAAAATCTGAGACTTAAATATCTCAACTATTGTTCGCTTTAGCTAAAAACACATTTCCTCTTTATCTTACATTAACCTGATTGAATCTCTCCATGAAAACCAACCATATAAGTCTTTTTTTGTTTATAACCTAATAAAACTTGTAACAACTATACTTGTACATTTGTGAAAAAATGGCGAGTTATATTCTAGATATTTCCATAATTTTTGGCGGTAGGTGATTAGTTAGCAATTTATCTACTGTTTCTCTGTTAATCGTTCCTTTTTTTGTAGAAAAACAATGCATCGAGTACACCTCCCATCTCATGTTCTGCGTCAGTAACTGGAATTCGTCCTCCAAGTGGTATTAAAGTTCCATCTATTACTCCAGATAAAATGAAGCCTAGAATTACTACTAATGGACATACCATTCCTAGTGCCACCGACACATCATTTACGTCTACACATGATGATATGACATATAACAAAAAACAAATTCCCACAAGCGTTGAACCAACCTCTGAATTGATAAAAAGACAAGAATCAATTACAGAGGATAGTTTAGAACATCCTAGTAGTTTACCTAGACCTCTAGGAATTTCACCTTCATCTCACGGTAAAGTTCAATCTAAACTTCGACCTTTATCAGGAAATTCACCAATCGCTAATTCTGGTATACCTGCGCCGTCTATAATGCCGCCTTCTGTTAGCGGACAATCTCATATGCCTGTACCGATGAATAATACTTCTATTCCTCTGCCTAGTGGAATAAAACCACCATCTCGTTCACCAAAGTCTGCATTAGCTAAGGTAAGGTTTTTCTTCGTATCTGGACGCTTGCTTCATAGTATTATACGTTTTTCTGTCAGTCATTTTCTTCGTAAAGCTGTAACCTATTGGCTATTACACTTCCAATCATACTATGACCGACCAGTAAAGACTTATGAAAAGTAATATATTCTTGCTTCGTGCTTTCTCCCCATGACAAACACTCACCGGTAAAATTCAGTACTAGTATTCAATGTTCAATTCCCTAACAGTTTTTATATAATTAATTTTCAATGATCCTCTTTGAGTTCGTTAATGTGATATGAAAATATTGAAAGCGTTTACTAATACAGAGTACTTAGTGACCAAGTAAGAGACTTCTAAAATAATATCTATCAATTCTAATTGTTTCGTTTCACATACTGAAAGTTAATGATTCCTGTCATAGCATTACCCAAACTTTCCTTCAACACCATTAGTCAGAATCAGTAATGAATATGTCAGGCCTTCTCATCGTAAAACGTTTTCTTGTCAGAAGACAATACGCTAGTGAATAAAATTATAAACGAAGTATATATGAGGTCTGTATTTAGAGATTGACAAAGAATCCACGTTTTTTGTTGTTGTACCATTTTCAACTGTCATCTGTGTGACCTTTGATATATATATATATATATATATATGGTCATATTCGAGTATTCAAAGTTACATTTATCACTGGAGTGAAAACTCAGTCAACTTATACTGTCGTAGAAATCTGACTCAACATCGTCCGGTATAGTCTATCACTACCGCCGTTAATACTTGTACTATTTACCGTTCAGTGCAATGAAACTAATTTAGAAGGTGTTGCCGACACCTAGTCTACATTATATTCAAGCTATTTCCAATAATCCATTTAAAGGTTTCCTGGTTTTCAGTGATTCTTCAAAATCTTGACATTGTGTTCGATTTCTGCTGCACCTGTATTAGACTAGACAGTCAGATATCTTTAATGTCTTAACATATTGTTTGCTGTAAAATAATAATGCATAGGTCGCGTCTTTAGACAATAAAGTTCTAAATAAATAAGGTATTCAGTGTGAGAGGGATTTGCGGCGTTTGTTAAGTTTCAGAGTTTACATTATGCAATGACGTTGATTAGACAACAGTTGAGAACTAGTAAGCATTAGACATTTTTGTTTCGTCCTAATATGGGCTTCTCACCAGTACACATCAAAAACTCCTGTGGAGATCGAACTCAAAACTTTCAGGTTAGCGCCTAACCTCTAGACCACTGGTTTGATATCCAGCTGTACACAAGTTTAATTTCACCTCATGTTGTTGCGTAATCATCTAACGTCATTGTCGATTGACTGCCTCACACCGGACATGATTGAACTCTATTGATTATGATTTCTCTCACTAGAACTCCGACATTAACTCAAAATTAGACACTGGTGAGTATAATATTATTTTTAACAGTTGGATTCACGATCCAATCTAAGCTAGGCCACTATTGAGAGCTTAGAAGCATTGAAAGGTCGTTTCGTCCTAATACGGCGCTCCTCACTAGTGCTCATCCACGATACCGTACTATTACGAAACGGCCGTCCAGTGCTTCCAGTTCAACTGTTAAAAATACTACAATCGCCACAAATCCTCACACTGATAATATATTATTATTAGCTTAAAGGGTTTATGGAGATTGTTTAGCCTCATAGCTTGCACTGACTGAATATCTTTGGTCCAACCTTCGGTGGTATCACAGAATCACATTGCTGAAGATTCCCACTTGAGATTAGAGCGGTCGTCTTGTGCTTCCTGGCTTTCAGTAATTGTCTAACCAAGGTTAGTTCATTATATAAAATATAAAATGTTTGAAAATTTATTTTCCTCTTGTTATGTAATTATTTTATACTCAACAATATACTTTGTCTGTTTTTTTTGCATACCCATATTTTAGTGATAACAATATTGAGTTATTATTATCTGACATATAATGTTCAATGGTCCAGAAAATAATCAAGAAATAAATAGTCTATTAAACAAAATCGCTTACAAGATACATTTCAATTTGTTTTCCCCCCCCTCTTATTTAATTATTATTCTTCCCTTTGAACAACTCTCATTCAACAAAATTTCAGTATTATTTATTTATTCCTTAATTATTCTGTGTTTATTTTTAATCCTTCCATTTTCTAATAATGATAATATTTACCAAATAATTTTTCTAATGGTATACAGATTGTGTGGTTTTTTTTGTTTCTTTAACTGTCTGTTGTTCTATTCTTTCGTTTTCGTAAGTTTGATTGTTCTCCTCTCTCTGTTTTCTTCTTTAACTTAATCATTTTATGAAAATCTAATATTCATTTAAGGTTTAAATCAACTTGAAATTACTTGACGGTGGCCACATCCACTTATATATTGAATGTGCACTAATGAAATTATTTTCAGTGAAAATGGTGGATTATTCATATATCAACATGAAACAGAGAGAATGACTTCCTAGTTGAACAGTGAAGTTATTTCATATTATGTCTATGAGAAATTATTTTACAAATTATGACCATTATAGGAGTACTATTGCACATTTCGAGTACTTCTCAGAATTAAAACATTGATTTAAACTTTTTTTTTCGGTTCACTTTGTCTTGTGGATGAAAATATTTTCATTAAACCTTATTACTTATACGTATATACAGATTTATAAGTGTTTACGTTTTTTTTGTTTGTGCGGCGCATGTGCTTTCTTTCATTATGCAGCGGTTGTATAGACTTTTTTTTCATTTTGAGATGATGTCAGTCTTCTCTAAAGAGGTGTGTTTGCTCTGGATTTCTTTTTTTGCAAAAAAAATCAGACAAACCATTGATCACTGGATGAACTTTTTTTGTTCTAACTAATCAACTTATCAAGTTCTACTACTTCTTCTCTGAAACGTATAAGATTATTTTATGCCTTTGAATTTAATACCTATTTTAGATGTTTAATTTTAGAAAGAAAATAAACTTGATCAGTATTTTGTTTTGTTTGTTTCACAATAACAAACTTGAAAACTTTTTCGACGGTACCTTTTTTTATTTGTCATCGAAATCCATTTCAAATGGCTTTTTTTTCTTGCAGCTTCCTTTGTCAGTGTCATCTGATCATTACTGACCACACTTCAATTTTGGACTATGTTGCCTTTTTTTCCTGACATGCATTCACCAGCGATTGTATTCTTTTCTACTTATTTAAGAGAGCTTATAGGAATTCAAATTGTAAACAGATTTAACAAAAAATATAGGATGATTTTGTTCTCATTCTATCAGTAATTCATTTCTCTGATGAGTCCACAAATTGTGCACTATGAATAAAAACATATTCATTGAAGTTGGTTTATTGTCCAAATATATCTAATATATGAATTAAATGATAATATATTAAACATACTTTTTTTACTTATTCATAATCTTTAACGAAATTCTGTATGTGTTTAACTCTTTCCATTCATATCTGACTGTAGCTATTACAGAAAGGTTAGATAATAGTGCAACAGAAACTACAGAACTGAGATCAATATGTTCAAATGTTTGATTCTTGTTAGCTAAAAAATGTAGCCTGTTCGATTGACTATTATTAATTGACATACATGTAATTATGCGAATATCTGAAGATTCACTCCCATAAAGCTATCCACGTTTTCAGCTGTGATGTAACCTCTGATGAGAACTTGTTTCTTCACAAAAATATTTGCCTGTGACCTTATGGCGATATCGAGACAATTCATACTGCATGCATGTATGCTAGAAGAGATTAAATTCCTGTCTTAAACATCAAAAGGAGGATTCAAACAATCAACAGACATGAATTGAACTTCACCCGAATGAATAAGCTAGTGGCTATCTAAACTAATAAGCTAAGTTGATAACGTAATGGCGTTTGATGCGAACATCACTGGATCTGAGTCCCGGTGAAAACAAAAACTCTGGGATCCAGGTAGAACCAGCTAATGGATCTAAAATAGGACAAAACATGCGTCTGAGATTCCACTGCTAGCGATCATCTAAATTCACTTATAAAATAAGTGTAGTTGATAAAGATTTTACATCTTTGTTAATCTAAGAGAGTTGATTTCTCAGATAAATGTCCAGTGGATTAAACTAAACCTGGAAAATTTGAAGGTCCCATATTGCTTTTCTGTAAATTTCATTCGGCCTCAATGGAATCAAATATATGTCATTGTATTATGTATCACATTTTTACAATTTAGTTATGAAAGAAATGAAATACTATGATGAACTAGTGTACACTTCAAATTCTACACATCTTTTTTTCACTATTTAAAAGTTAATAATCAGCGTCAACTGGATAAACATATAATGGCAGAGTGAGAGTTTTCATGTGTTACGAACAGCATTAGAACCAACATTAAGTAAATATGATCACCTTTGATATGAATTTTCTTAAAGTTCTAATTACATGATATATTGAATCGACCAACTCAGAGCTTGACGGTAACTTAATGATAACAAATGAACACCTTAATTGTGAGTGAAACAGACTATGAACTACTGAACTGGTATTTAAGGACTTAAAAATAGTATGGTCAGCACAAAACTTGAAAGCTTTGGATTTCATCTCTTATTGTTACTCTTCTAGGGATTTTGAATCGGACGTAATACATTGTTAGTTATTTTGGATAAAACTACTTATGATTTGTACAGAATCTCCATTAACTTAATTACTCCTGTTACTCTCAATAGAACATAGGCCGCCGACCAGCATTCTCCAACCCACTCTGTCCTGGGCCTTCTTTCCTAGTTCTATCCAGTTTTTGCTCATTCTTCTCATGCCTGTCTCTATTTTTCGGCGTAATGTGTTCTTTGGCCTTCAGGATTCCATGTGAGGGCTTGTCTTGTGACGCAGTTGGGTGATTTCATCAAAGTGTGCACAATCCACTTTCAGCGCCTCTTCCTGATTCCTTCTTCCGCTGGAATCTGCTTTGTTGTCTCCCACAGTAGGTTGTTGCTGATAGTGTCTGGCCAACGGATCCGAAGTATCTTGCGTAGACAACTGTTGATAAACACTTGTATCTTCTGGATGATCGCTTCCGTAGGAATCTCCATATATATATATACAATATATATATACAATATAGTAAATACTGAATGGATAAACCTTTTTAATTTCATACTAACATAACTATTAATTGTTCAGCTTATATAAATCTGCATTAGTATGTTTAGTACTTAAGGTGAAATTATTATTATTAATGTTACAATTGTATTTCTGGATTCTAAAAGTGTAGTCGTATATTATTTTTGTTAAGGTTATGCTAGGTTCTCTTATAACTAGGCCTACTAAGAAGCCTATATACTATTCACTTACTAGGTTTGGGAAAATTCCTTGACCACATCAGATAAACATACTTTTCCTTGTAAGAAAAATTTACTTAAATAAAGTTCTCAAGGATACAAATCTTAAATACAACATTGTATTGCTCAATAGTGTTTATTTCCACTCTAGTTTCAGACTAAAATCTTAAAATGAAATAGCTTCACATTTAAGAATATATGCAATCATTTTCAAAACCAAACAACTTTGTAATGAAGCAATAATTCAGTAATGTCAATAGATGAACATCATATTGTATCAACAATTTACAGAAGTTAGAAACTTTTCTCGTTGATTACTAACTTTTACTAGACTTCTGCACGATTAAATCTCTCTTTTTTAAATATCAGTTACAGTTTGTGTGTGTAGTATTTACCAATACCCCTTAATCTTATAAGTAACACAAGTAAATAACATGACTGATCGCTATTTTTTCTCCTCTCTCTCTCTTACGTTTATAATTCATTCTCATCAACTTAACGCTTTTAATCATTTACCAAACACCTTCAGTATGATTGTCACTCGTGATTTACGCAGAATCATCATTTCTGCCAAATTATTTTTCAGTTACTTTATTTTCACCGAAATTTCATGTTAATGTGGATCACTATTAGTTGTCACTTTTTGTCAATCGAAGTTTTATTTTCAGCCAATTTCATCTCCCACTCTCTGTCACTTTTGAGTATCACTATTTTACCACATACTGTGACTATAAAAACGGCCTCTATTTGTTTAATGTTAACTACGTCTCTACAGGTTACTTTTATTTATAACTCAAAAGTGTCAATCTTATCTATTGTTAATCTTGTTCAATATAGTAATGGAATTGTAAGCCTACGAGACTGGATATCATAAAACACCTGTTATATTCATATTTATCTTCAGTGATTTCATATTACTCACATTTATCTATCCCATTCTTAAATGTAGTTAAAAGAAGCTTAGAAATTCTTATAGTCTAGATATTAATTTTGTAAAACATTTGCGTGGCTACAGTTTTCTATTTTAGTAACACTGAAGCTAATATGCTAAGGTATGCTCTATTGACTGATTGCATTGAAATTCAAAATTAAATAAATACACGTTAGATAGAAAAATTCTGATTTTATATTTCTTCCTGGGTTAGCATAGTTTGAGTGGCTGGATATTGCGTGCATTATGTTGAAGTGTTAGGTTGTAAATGGTAGTAGTAGTCAACTGTGAACCTAGGTCCGCAACATATACCTTGCTGACAAGCCCCAAAAGGTATGAAAGAGGTACACAGAGCTTCTTGTCGATCAGCTAAAGTCACTTTGAGCCAACTGTGTTTTGAATTTATCATTACCACTTGGCCCCGCATTGATGAAGAATCTTTCACACCTTCTCTGATTACGCTCCTCAAACCTGCTGTTCAATAATTTATGTTTTCATTCCCATAATCTTTGTTTAAATTTGTATTTTATAGAGTTATCCCACTAACACTGACCTCAATTCAATAATCATTGTTAAGAATTTACATAGGAAAATTCATTGCCTTAAACTAGTGAAACAACTTTCACAATTTTTCGAAAAATAGATAGCTAAACCACTATCGAAACCTGAAAAAACTGGACATGTCTCAAATTATCATGCGGCTCCCCGACAGTGTACATCCACGATCTTACACATAGGATCAAACCTAGGATCTGGAGCCTTCTAGTTATCAATTCTAATCTAGCTTAGATCTGTTTGTTGTTTAAACCATGGAAATTCTGCAATATTCACAAAACTATATGTTAAAGACAATTATTTGAGAGAAAAAAGTGCGCACATGGATATGTTTAGAACTTATTTCTATTACACAAACTAATTTCTTCTATTAAATATATATGGTTAAACTTTCAGAATATAATGTTTGTGTTAGGGCGAAAAAAGTTCGTCTTAATGTAAGACTCCAACCAATTAAAATCTCAAAAGTGTACTATTCTGATCGATTCCATAACACGGAGGATTTCTAATACCGTATTAGTTGTGTATAATAATCCTTATTAACAAATCATTAGGAGTGTATGCCATAGTTGACAAATTTAGATTTTATGTATGAACAAAATAGCCCGCTCTTCGGAACATACTTTCATGTTAGTTTCTGTATAGAACTACAAATTATATAACTTCAACTTCTCAGAAACTGCCATACAGAACAATTCACCTAGAACTAATAATGTCAATAGCAGTGAAAAATCTAAAAATGAACAATATCTAGGTTAGATAGATTGTGGATGATCACAGAATGTAAAACGTGTGTTTTGTCCTGTTTAGCACTCTTCCTCGTGATATTCTTGTACTACAGTGTTAAAGTTTATACTGACGTTCAAATACAGTACATTTTGCCAAAGGGTGAGTATGTTAAACCAAAAACCATTAAGTCCAGATAGTCACTAGCTTGATTAAGAATTGCAGATCCAGTAAAAAACAAGGGTATTTTTAAAGACTTTATCAGTAGAGATATAGAATGCAATGAAAATACCAGAGTTATCAGAACTATGTGGTGTATTACCAAATACATTTCGAACATTCTGATCACGCATATACTTCTTACGATATCATACACCAAAAAACGAAGATAATAACGCTAAAGGGGAGGATGTCAAAACGATGTGACATTAAAGTCAAACTGTTTTAAAAGACATGAAAGTGGTTTCAGTTTACGAAAATCCAAGGCCTCGATAAGCTTTATTATACACACTTAAGTAATTTTCTATAGCACTACTAAGGCTGATTTGATATCAACCCTTATGACCCGTCTCAACCGAATGTTCTGCAAAGAAGTAAGATTTTTGTCTATTCTGCAATCTTATTTGACATTTGGAATTCATTTGAAGTCGTCGACATTAAATTATCCATTTCTAATTGTAAATCATGATTTTTCTTCCACATACATAGGAGAGACATACACGTAACGGAGTGCAACACAATCGTTAACATCCTGTTTGAGGTTTTGGTGAAACACTGACCGTGAGTTTTCGATGATGCGTTGGGTAGCGTAAAATCTCTTACTGGTAAACCTTTGTACCATTCAAAGCCTATTCATCTGAAATGAACGGTCTTAGAATAAAAATTTTGCTAATATGATACAAAGATGATAATTTTATAATTTCATGGGATCATCACCAATTAAGTTCTCCATCATACTGAATTCACATGCTCTTGTGTCGGTTACACTACACTACTTACTTATCAACAAGTAGTTGGATTTGCATTTCAATTAATTTTAAATCTGTACGTTAAAACGGATGTTGTCTATATAACTTGGTGGTATTTGTTTTCACCGTATGAAATATATCTCTTCAGCATGTTTTCGTAACATGCACTATGTTAAGCATCATTCAATGTCATATATCAATTCCCTACAGGTTGTTCAATATACCAATCATAATTTTCCATTTACGGTTTATTTTATTTATTTAGGTGATTCATTTAATCTTAACTGTAAGTTTAGTCACATAAAAAACACTTGGAAATAACATGATTGAACATTTGGATTATTACGCTTTTTACTTCCGGAAAAATTCTATTCTTTGGCTCCATAATAGGTCTTACATATACTCTCTACAGGCATTACTGAGATGCTGACATAAATTATGGCACATAATATTTTCTAAATGTACTTATCAACGAAATCATAAGTTTAATGGAATAACCTAAGCTCAGCATTATACAGTCACATGTTTTGCAATGGAAAATGATTAAATTTCCAAATGTTAACCTCTGAGATTCTGCATTACATACACGATAACTAAAAACTTATTTTATAGGCAGTATGAAACTATAAAAATCAGTAGACTTTCAATTTGTTTGTATTAATGCTTAATCCATACTCACTAATATAAAATATGATCAAGTGACTATTTCTCACTGAAACTAAAAAATTCTTAGATTATCAATGAATGAACAGGTATACAAAACTACCATGAAATCATTCTTATTTTACTCAGTAAAATTACATAACTCTATGA